AATAGCCCGTTCCCAGAAAAATCTCTGTATCCATTATCTTCTAAGCTAAGTAACCCTGAATGAGCACTGATGGGACTGTGTAAAATGTGAGTAATTCGCTGATGTGTCTGGTCTCTCTCAAATACAAACAGAAGAAAATTCTGCGTGTCACAATCTTAAGTGCGCATTTGGTATTTTTCTGCTGCATTAGTGTGCACAGCGATGGGACGATAGTGGATAGATGGGCATATTGGTATGAATCCATAAGTTTTCCTCCTGGGGCTGGTCAAAGCAGGATAGAGACGCACTTTAACCTAATCATAACTCCAGTCAGATCTCTGAGAGGCCTGTAATCACTTTGCTAGACTCCCGAAACACAAACACATGCATCAAGTGGTGCTCCAGCGTAAAGCAGCTTCACCAGAAAGATGTTAGAGGAGATGGAAAAACGATAAGATAATCAAACTCTTTGCACGCCTCACTGGACCTTACTGCCTCTCTATGTGGGTGGTGATATAATACAATTTTATAAAACCATCACAATTTGAACATGCTCAGACAAGACTAAAGGAGTGCTCGGTTTTGTTTCACAGTAGGACATCAATCAGCTCTGCCTTACAATTATTCAATTACAGGTGGTTTTATTGCTCAAAAATACTTAAAAAACAGGAATTCTGACTGTGAGCGGGGTTGCTTCTCCACAGAATGCACCTTTAATGTTTTTCTTATTCTGAAAACCACTTTGAATTACACTACTTTCAACCACCACAATTTCAGCGTGCTCAGAAAGACTAAAGGAGCGTTCAGGTTTGTTTGTGAAACCTGTGAGGTATTTATGTTTGTCACTGATGGTTGCAGCAATGGAAAAGGTCAGTGGTCCCAAAGGAAATACATTCTCATGCTCTGTAAAGGGAGTCTGTCAAAATTAAACATGCATTACACACGTTTATGCAGGCCCGTCAACAGTAATTTAGGGACCTGGGGCAAGAAGACTCAAACAGGCCCCACTCTATTATAAATTAATAGAAGCAAACCAATTCTGGGCCCCTAAAACCCTCGAGAACAGAACAACAGACCCTTTTAGCCCCCTTTGTCTACTGCCCTGCATTTAAGCCATACATACATATAGGCCTAGTTTCATATCAAAACATTCACTGGTTTTGAATTTATCATGACATTTTTTAAGAAAATGTCTCACTTCTGTCTAGGCCTGTCACGACAACAAATTTTAAAGCACAATATGTCGCTACAAAAAAGACGAAAATTGATAAAAATGATAAACGATAATATTGAAAATACTTAATGCCACTAATGCAAAGCAGGATCATCCCAGTAAACATTTTTTAAAATATTTAGTCTATAAAAAAAAACATGAGCTGCAAACAATAAGAATGAAGAAGATCTGCTAGAATGAAGTCATTTTTAGCCACAAAAGTTAAGTTTATTCTGCCCCCAACAGCTTCAAATCTTACCTTAATTCATAAAAATGGCAAAAAATCGCTGCATTATTGCAAAGAAATTAAATACTACGCTCCAAAATATGTTGCAACATCATATTTATTGAACAAGTCATCTGAAATGGTAAAAAAAAAAAGCACACATAAGCCTAGTTTCTTTTCAAGCCATTCACTGGTTTGGAATTTATCATAATATTTTTGGAGAAAATGTCTCGCTTCTGTCTAGGTCTGTCATGATAACAAATTTTGAAGCACGATATATCACTACAGAAGAATATTACGATAAATGATAATGCTGAAAATACTTAATGCCACTGACACAAAGCAGGATCATCCCAGTAAACAATTTTTAAATATTCAGTATCTGTAAAAAAACAAGAGCTGCAAACAATAAATGTCAGTGAAGCCATAGAAGTTATTCATTCTTCCTCCAGCAGCTCAAATCTTACCTTAATTCCAAAAAATTAAGATAAGATTTACCTTAAATGGCAAAAATCTCCCCATTATTGCAAAGAAATTAAATATTGAGCTCCAAAATATATTGCAACATCTCTATAGGATTTATCATGACAGGTCTACTTCTGTCTTAAAAGTGCATTGTGTAACTTTGGTGGCGGGTCCACCACCTGCTCTGATGTTATTGCTTTGCCTGAAATGTTTCACAGTATGGCATTAAAGCTTTCTATCTTAATGGAAACCAAACCAGACCAAGTTACAGGTCAGATCTGTGGAAAGGCGACCCAGCTCACAGTCAGAATGCCTGTTTTTCTAGATATTTTTGAGCACTAAAACCAGAAAACAGCGATTAATGTCACACTGTGGAACATTCCAGGCAGAGCAATGACATATCCATAGAAACAAGAAACGAAAAGTTACACAGTGCACGTTTAAAACACAAATGAATAGGCTACATAATTATAGGCCAGAACAGTTTGAGGAAAAATCACGCAGCACTGACGACACAATTTTCGAGATTTTGAAAGAAAAAAAAAAGAAAGAATCGAAAGTGATCAGGATTAATGCTCACAAATCTCACCTTAATGACAACAGGTTAAGCTACAGACCGGTCAATAACGGCGAAAGATGGATGGAGGAGACACGGAAACACTTTTTTTTCTCAGTCCCTGTTGTCAAGTTGACGAGCCTTGTCCAGCAGCCTCAGCAGCACGCGGCACTGTCAGGCCTCGGGATGCGCGCGCGGGGGGAGAGCGCGCAGGGGGGGAGAGCGGAGGGGGGATGGAGGAGAATTCACTGTATTTTGAGCAGCCCAGTCAGTAGCAGCTCAATTGTGATGCCTCCTTCCGTCCTCCATCCTCTCTCCTTTCGCCTTTTCAACGTTAAAAATCAATCAGCATCGCCTTACCTCTCGCTTTTGTTCGGACGCCAAGAAAGACAGATCGTATCAAAAAGGCCTACTATAAAAAGCACAGGGAGATTCCTATTCCTGCCAAATATCGCGATGGTAAATCTTAACACCTGAAGATAACGTCGTCAAATCAACAACCAGAGTCCTATACACTTCCATAGTGAGTGTGAACTGTCTTTTCCCATGAATATTCACAACAGCGCACAAAACAGCTACATTTCCTCGGTGGCTGCAAAAGGTTTATGGAGGATTTTAAGTGGCTAAGGCCCAACAAGCCAATTTACCCAGTCCAAAACTGATCCAGGATTAAAAATATATATAAATCTCTCGCAAATCCCAGGCGATTATTAGGCAATTGTCGGCCATGATATCATTCAGAGCGATCTCACTCAGTGCCAGCAGCCTGTCACGATTTATATTGGATTACAGGCCATCGTGTCTAAATCTGTCTTAATTGCTGTGAGAAGAAACACGCCCATCGCCTTTTCCGCTTTTCAGGAGATTTTCATTCACAAAATAATCATCGTAAAAGCAAAAATAAACTAAAGAGGGTTGAATCTTACCTCAATGCGCGAGACGTGTCCCCCTGAAGCCCGGAGATGAGATGGAGAGGACAGGGAGGAGGATGGGGAGGCGGATGGCTCTGCTTCTGTGAGCCGAGCGCTGCTGCTGCTGCTGCTGCTGGTGGTGGTGGTGATGATGATGCGCGGTTAGGACGAAGGAGAGAGAAGCCCACGCCATCCACACACACTCAGCGACGCACAGGGGTCCCCTCCCCCACGCCTCCCTCTGAGCGCACGACTACAGAAACGCCTTCGTGAGATCTGCGAGTGAATGAGCGCGTATTTTGGCACATCACCATCACTTTACGCACTTCACACAAGCCACGTTTATTCAATTAAGCTAATAACAGGGCGCGTGGGATTTAATATTAAAGTCTCATATAGAGTAAGAGCAGGCCCTTTTACGCATGCGCAAGGAAACACCTCTCCTCCTTGCATCTGCTTTTACAAATGACTCTCATCTTTACGAAGCGAGAGGCGGTGAAATATTGCGCACACACGTGTAGCAACACCTGACTCCTGTTGCTATGCCGACCACTCGCCACCCTCCATCAGCTTCTCTGCATCACGAAGAGGAAACGTGAGGCACTTTGACAAGATGCGTCATGGCGTCACCCACTATTAGGAGACGTTTGTGCTTTTTGTTGTGTAACTGGGCCAGACTCTTTGACATGTATGTGCAATGCAGATATACCGTATCAAGCAAATCATCAAAACCTAATCATGCAGTTTTAGTCTTTTTGGCCACAAAGATCTGAAGTGTGTATTTGTTATCCTGCGTTAACATTATATTACTTTTTAGATGATATTTGCAACATGCATCATAGATTAAAGTGGCCAGACTGTTGGACAAGGAGCCATCGACTTGGACAACAAGGTGATCAAACTGTTCATTAATGGAGCAGTCCAATTTCAGATCAATCTTTGATCGATCTCTAATTAAGCTTTTATTTTTGGTGGGACATTTATATTGCACAAGACTAGCCTAGAGAGGATTTTACACTGGCTTAATTACCTTTGGATCGGATATCTGTCACTCACCAACCAATTAGCACATGTGTATTCATTATCTATTTTTAGCATATGCAGACACCCAGTGTGAGCAGGATATAACTAATATACAATATGTAGGCCTCAAGGCCAGGCCTTGTATATAGGCCTGCCTATATACAAGGCCACATACAGAAATCTATATGAATTTGACTTGGCACCTTAACTCTTAAAAAAAAACATAAAATCCAGTGCAATATGTATGTATGAAAAAGAAAATCAAGTTGTTGTGCATTAAAGTGATGATCTATGTTTGCAGTTGATTAATAATGGTGACTGACATGAAATGTATTGATGAAATGTTTTAACGTAACTATCAGTGTTAATGTATTGTCTGGAAAAAGGGGCAGATAACATAGGATTACTCTTCTTTCTGCTCCTTTTCATTAAATTCTTGTATGTTTAATATGACACCTTCAATGTCTTTTTATACTTTATGAATGAAATAAACATATAATAATAAAAAACCTCTACATTACATGTACATCACAGATGATTAAGCTTTTTTTCATTATTTATACAGTGACTTTCTATAATAAGTTATAATGTTACCGTCTTGCATTATTAACACTACACATTACCGTGTTTTGTACTAAAAGTTTTATTCTCCAAACATCCATCATCTGTACAGTGACCAGAAATACAAACATTTAAATTATTCACGATTAGAAAACAGAAGCCTTAAGGTGTTTGTGTGTTTAAAAAAAATTAAAATGTGAATGTATTTTTTGAAGGATTATGGTGGCATTGGAGCTCTCATGGGGGGACCGGTGGGCGGTCTAGGCGGCATAGGTGGACCCCTCTGGAACCCGAATGGTGGAGGCCGAGGTGGACCAGCGGCGTACCCATGGGGAGGCATAGGGGGTGGGGGTCCTCTCATCGCCGGCACTGGAGGACATAGTAAATATAACTGTTTAATTAAAAAATATTGCAGCTAGGGATAGATTTCTCAACGTTTCTTGTTAGCTTGTGAACAGTGTTCGATTGACAAGAGAGATTACTATAGACTATGGACAGAGAGATTATTTATTAATATTTCTGTTAGCAGAAAGGATTTTCAGTAGCTTGTGGGCAGGTGCACATGTATTTTGCAGAACCCATGGGACGTCCATGTCTTCAAATGTATAGCAGTCTAATACTCAAAATAAAAAATATGTATGTGTTGCATGTGCATCAAGTTCTTTTTTGTATAACTATAAAAAATTAGAAAATCTAACATTATACAATCATAATTTAAATCAATACACATTTGCTAATTATGCCAAGCAAAGCCTCATCACAATTTATATAACTTAATTTGCCAATTTCCATTTTTTACCTTTGTCATCACACTCCCCTACAGTGAAAAGGAAACTCCTGTGATCAGTGACTGGATTGATTTGATATGTTTAAAATGGAAAGTTTTAAATTTAGAATGAAGTTACAGATTTAATGATTAATTATTATAAGTTTACTGACCAAAATGGTTGACTTGCATAAAAAAGGTGTATGTCTTACCCCGAAGTGTTTCCTTGAAATTATGTTTGTTAATTTTTCAAGATGCCATGGTACAAAACAAAACACTCTTCACTGTATATTTCTTACCCATGGGGGGTCCATATGCTCGGGGTGGCACGCCCATCGGGGGAGGAGGCATGCTGGGAGGAGGTGGAGCTCGGGGCTGACTTGATCCAGGGGGTGCCGGAGGTGGAGGTACCATACCAGGAGGGGCCGGAGGATGCATTGGCATCTGAGGCATCCCTGAAAATAAAGACAGGACAAAATATATTACCATTAATAAATATCAATATCACTGTGGTCTTACATTTTGTACTATGATATGCATTTAGCATATGTACAAATAAAAGTTTTAGTCATTTACAATTTAGTTTAGGTAGATTTAAATTTGTAAAAAATAACATCACATAGAATCCTGGGTCATTGAGGAATTAGAGCTTTCAAACTAGGCACTATACTGTCTGTTTCCTATTGCAAATTGCAATGCAATGTTTGTTGGTGGAAAGGAAACGTACAATTAGAAATGAACTCATAAAACTATTAGAAATACAAACTCATGAACAAACAGACCATTTTCAGTTAAAAATGTGAGACAGTTAAGTGTGATAGAAAGCTGCAAATTAAGCACTAACAAAAACAGGTACTCAGTGAAACTCTAAAGTTTTGCTCACCTGGATGCATGCCAGCAGGAGGATAATGTGGAGGGGCACCGCCCGCCTGTGCTGCTGCATTTGGAGGGATCCCCATCGTGGGCATCGCTGGAGGTAATGACCCTGGAGGAGGAACAGGGGGGAAAGAAGGAGGCATACCTGTGCAAAGACATGTACAGCCGTTATTGTAAAGTTAAAGCCAGGTCAACAAGACAAGTAAAGTAAATGTGAGACTATTGTAACTGACTGTTGCACATTTTTCTTCTTAATCTACTTAATTTTGGTCTTACCAGGCATACCCATCCCAGCACCAAGCGTAGTCAGGACAGGTGTTGGGACAGAAGGAGGTGGTGGGGCATCTGCGAAAAGCTGGTGAGGCCGGTCTGCCTGGGACAGAGGGTTCTGCGCGGCCAGGAGCCTCTCTGCTGCAGACCCGTGACGTTCCCCCTTTGAATCTTTCTTGAAGGCGTAGGAAACTGTGATTGGTCTGTTACAGAGATACTGGCCGTTCATAGCTTCAATGGCAGCATCTGAAGCATCAAAGCTGGCAAAGTTGATGAAAGCGTAACCCTTGGAGTTGCCTGTGTCTGGGTCCCGCATGATTTTCGGAGTCTGAAGGATCACACCGAAAGCACTGAATGTGTCGTAGAGCAGTTTCTCATCAATCTCGGGATCCAGGTTACCGATGAAGATATTTGCTCCAACATCCAGGTTTTTATTGTGTGCTGAGGCTTTGTTAACTCGTATAGGTTTCCCATAGAGCTTTATCATGTTCATGATTTTTATAGCATAGTCAGCATCTTCTTCACTTAGAAACTCCACAAACCCATAGCCTGCACAAAATAAGAATAAATAACAATCATACAGCAATGTTTTTAAAGGTAATTATAAGATCATGTAGCATTGCAGACCTTGGTGTTGACCCGTGACTCTGTCTTTGGGCATGTGTGTGTTGACCACGGGACCCGCCTGAAGGAAAAGCTCCCACAGTAAAGGCTCAGACACCTTCTCATCCAGGCCACCCACATACACGGTGGCATCTGGTAGAGGACAAAAACACCTTTAATGACACAAATACTCATGCATGCAAATGTCAGTTGTAAATCCAGGTTAAGTGAGTTTAGTGTGACTCCAGCTGAGAGCTACGAGCGAGTCTCCTCATTGATACACCAGGCGTTAGCGCTTAAGCTAATGTTAACTTTAGAAAACCGGCCTGTCTGTTTACATTCATGCAATGCCTGTCTGATATAATATTTACGGAATTATTACAGACGCTTTATGGTCAGTTTTAGTGAGAGAAATTTGACAATAGTGAAATAAAGTGAATTTACTGCAAGATTCAAAGAGTAGCATCACGAGCGGTGAACATGTCCATGTGATGGACCAGGTTATCGTCACCAAAACTGTGAACGATCCATTCGTTACGCTCATCAAAAGCACAAACAGCAAATATGCTATTCCTAAAGAAAAATATTACTTTCTAAGCGTTTAAAAAACACTTTACCTTGGTTTCTTTCTGATATTGGTCCCGCTGCCATGTTGAATGAACAACGACGGTACAGCGAATTGAAGGTCCCGCCTCTTCCGGCACAACACCGGAAGTAAACACTTTTCGGTAAACTTCAAAATAAAAAAGAAAAATTAATACAAATAAAAAATAGCCCAGTCTTTTGTTAGTACAAATAAATGAATATATTTTCATTTCACGAAGTTTATAAATAGAATAGATTAGATAAGACATTGTGTTTAATTAACTTTGTGTTTATTGCATTTTATAATTCTAACAAAAATTCAAACAAGAGATACAAATTGTTTGTATAAAATACAAATTATCATGGCTTTAAAAAAACACATTATAAAATCAACACTTAATAATAAAAAACATAACATGCATAGTAAAATTAAATGTGGATAGTAAAACATAAAAAATCCATTGCAGTGGCCACAAAAACTTGTAAAACAAGAGATCTGAGAGGAAGAACGTAGTTTGTAATAAAGAAAATATACAAAGAGTAAAGAAGTAAGAACACTCAAGGCAGTGAGTTTGTCCTCATTATGAGGTGCTAACAGATCATTCTGGTCTGTAAAAGTATTGAATTGACATTTTAAAAAACTTTCAAAATCCTTCAATAAAGACAACAGAATTCATATGTATAGTAACTGTACTGTAATAGTGATAACATTAAGCAACAGTTTGGTATAACAGCTAAAAGTAAATAACTAATGTAACAGAATAATTTTAGGCTGTAAAAGTGTGTAGCACCGTTATTTTCTACTGTAATGAGATAAGTATTGTGGTAATAAATCTTTTCTTACTGTTGAATTCAGATAAATGCTGATTATGTTTTATAGTTTATGGGAAAAATGAACTCAAGTCATTTTCTTTATCATTGAGTTCTGTAGGTCCATTATACAGTATTATACAAATTATACATTCGGCTGTTGTCGTATAGTCCTTCACACATATTTTTAATCATAAACCTGAGCGGCTGTCAGTACCAATTCTTCCATCACATATCTATTTTTGCTTTAAAGGTGAGAAATCTATGGAAATCAAACATAGGCCCATACATTCCCAGCAAAATAAAGGTTTTGTTGGACTATATGTCAAATGTAGAAACTCTCTTATAAAAAGTTGTGTTCAGGTAGTTTTTGAGAGAGCTGCCTTTTAGTCACTAGGCACAAAAAGGTCATTGCTAAAACAGCTAATTCAATGTGCATATTGTGATAAAGGCTGGATTACCTGGTCTGTAGTAGCTTCCAATTATGTAATAATGGCCAACAATGTAATAATTAATTCTCGAACAACGAATCAATTCATTTCAGACATTGGCTGGCAAGAGCATTTTGTTGTAGTGCAGACAATCATTAAATATTATGGAAAGGTCGCTAAAAACTATGAATTATAGTCAAGTAGTAGCGTTGCTGGCTTAATAACTATTAGAATTACCTAAGTTATTTCATTTTTGGCAGGTATAACATTATTGGGGAGTGCTACCAAAAGAGGCTTGTAGTGCCCAGGAATCCGAGAGAGTGAAGGCAAGTGAAGGTCCTTCTTTAAGAGCGTTTAGTGTGAGGGCAGGGTAGCTGTGTTGGCTGCATTGAGCTGACCCACTGCGAGCATCAGGATGTCTTTTTTCTCTTTGTGGAATCGCAGCTCTCGTCCCGCCAGCCGCGCCTCCTCCAGCTCTCGCTCTGTGGAGGCCAGCTCTTGGGAGATGGTCCCTGCCACGCTCTGCTCACGGTTCACCCAGTCCGCCGCCATCTGAGTGCGCATGTCATCATCCAGGGCCCGATGGGAATAATGAGCCAGTACCTCCTGCAAAAAGAAGAGATCCAGGTCAGACCAAAGTAGCTTTTTATTGAATGTAATAAAAGTGTTAGGACATAGATCATATAGGACACAAAGGCCATAAAAAGCAATGCATGAATGGAGGTCAACAGTGAGTGCCCACTCCCAGGTTTCGGGACAAACTTTCTTGTTAATCCAAAAAAAAAAAAAAGAATATTAAAATCTGAAAGCTTGCTCAGGGCTAATCAGATAGTTATAGTACAGTTCAGTCTTAGTTTAATTTTAAATCTGTTTCTGAAACATAATGAACTGCAAAATTATTAAAGAATTTTGCAGAATCTTGCATTTAAATATGCTTCATTATGGATATTAGTTACCAGCTGGTTAGCCTCAGCTTCAGCTCTTAATATCTGAATTTTTGTTATACTGTCTATGGGAAACATTTATGAAAATTTCACTTCCATTTCACAATTTTATATAAGAAAAGAATGAATAAAAACATTTTTAAAAACATCATCATATACAAATGATTTTATTTTTTTTTAACAGGTTTGGTTTTCAGTTTTTTTCAACATTGTGCACATATATATATATATATATATATATATATATATATATATATATATATATATATATATATATATATATATATATATATATATATTATATTTTTTTTTTTTATTATTTGTGCTTTTCAAAATTTTAACAAATACAAATTACATAAAAGAACAAACTCTGTAAATAGACAATTTTTACCTTCGCTTTTTTTATTTATATAGTTATTTTTTCCCATCCCATACATTTCTTCCATTATATCTGTCCATTGCTGTAACTTTTTAAGGGTCATCCTTCAGCCAATTCTTTGTTACTACTTTCTTACTTGCCAAGATCATCACTTTAAATAAATAGAAGTCCTCAGTTCGAATATTGTTTTCATGCAACAAGCCCAAGGTCCCATATTCTACTTTTTACCCAGTCTAGAATTAATTCAGGATTAATTCAGACCATATCCAGAAGTAAAGCGTTGCCAATAAAAATGAGTAAATCTGCACTTTTGTTTGGTACCTGGCGGGAACACTGTCTCTCCCTCATGGCTTTCAGGCTCCCATTCCAGTGCAGCAGCTGGAAGACCGTCATCAGCTCCTGAAATAAACAAAACGTCAAGAAAAGATACACAGTGTAAAGCTCGTGACCTGATTTCTCTTTTCCTCAGATAAACAAGTCACATGAGCTGTACACAGCTGAGTCTAACCGCTGTGGAGCGTCTCATTTAATTACCCTGAACGCACACATAAATGTCTTACCTGAAACTCCAGCATTGACTTTCCTTTGTTGGATTCGAGCATGAAACGAAACGCACCAATGCCGGTGTTTGGGTTGTCTGCCTCCTCTCTGTTTCCCTGTAAATACATTTTCAGTTCAGTCTTTTATTACTTTATCATTGATTTAAGCTCTATACGAGTATATAAATCGATACACAGTGGACTTACATTAAAGGGAGCGAGTGCTTCTCCAACGCTCTTCTCAATGAACTCGTCAGTGATGCGGCGAGATGGGTGTTCGTTAAAGACTGAGTTCATGAGGGCGATTTTGGCTGCACTGCGTCGTGCTTCTGCTTTGGTCGGACAGAACTGTGAACAGCCAGGGGAAGGGTTTAATAGTTATTCATAAACTGCTGTTTTATAATAATGATGATATTAATAATATGCCTTAATGTTATATATCGCTTTTCCAGACCCTCAGTCGCTTTACAATTTGACATATTACTCATTCACTGCATACCCAGAGGTGGTAAGTTACTATTGTAGCCATAGCTTCCCTGGGGCAGACTGACGGAAGCAAGGCTGCCAATCTGGGCCCTCAGTCCCTCTAACCAACACAAACACTCACACACACACACCACTTTCATAAAAAACAATGTGGGTGAAGTGTCTTGCCTTAGGACACAACAGTTTTTGCCACTGGCGCGCCACTGTGGCACCTGATTATATTTGATAAGATCAGACTTTGACAAGGAGACATTGAGGTTTGGCCACAATGTTTGGCCATGTAATCACATGCACATTCTTTGGAAACATTTACTATGAAGTTATTAATAAACATGGACTAAATTAGAATCAAACAATGTGATTTCTTATTCATTTATTAACTTAAATGGCCCCAGTTTTTTGATCCATGTTATAATGTTTCCTCATCACAAACATACCTGGAGATGTGTTTTGTTTCATTCACATGTTTAACACACACACTGCATATTTAGGCTGAGTTCTTCTTCCAAACAGAAAAACACTGTTTCATTTGTGATATCATGTGGTAATAGAGGAAGTGCTCCATTGTATTTTTAACCTTCCCACACCTTCGCTCATTTGGATGATTTCACCCCTGGAATATCTCATCTCTATCGAACTAAAGGTAAAAGGTTGTTAATTTGAACACTATCACTTCATGACATCAAAAATTTGGAAAGCATTTTGAGCTTTGGAGATATGGACAGAGGATTACTCAAACATGTGCGAATTGAAACAAAACACAACTCTGGGTTTTTGAGGAGGTAAGAGAGAACATTATAATGTGGCTTAAAGCTCACACGATTCAGCCCTGTGTATAAATTTGTGACTAACTTTAAGTGTGAGAGATTTTTAACAGCACAACTCATCTCACCTGTTATAGCTCCAGCTAAGTCAGTTCTTTATTTGTCAGATTGTGTTAAAATAAACCACAGATTAAAGTCTAACAAAGCCTCAGACAGAGCAAAGCCTATAGTTAGCATCACACCCGCAGAGAATGTTGATGACATGAGCTGCAAAGAATCAGTGGAGCCATTTTGGTGCATAGACAAAGCAAAGAAAAAAAAAGCATGTGTAAAAAGTTTGACCTGGAAGCTCCCGAAGCAGCTGCCCCCGGGGAGGCTGACATAGCAGACGTACGGGGGGCTGTTGGAGGGGACCATCTCGTACACGACCAGGGCACCATTCCTCAAATCGGCCCCTCTGCTCAGTTTCATCTGCCAAAACTCCTGCAGCGCCTCCACCACGTTCACTACAACACAAGAAAGATTTACACATCACCATCTATCAAATATTACAGTTATACTCAGACGCCTTTCCTCCAAACACATGGAAAGGGTCTTGTGCAGAATGCCAGGGGATTTTCCTGCCGACTAAACACTTAAGCGCCTCTTACTTGGAGGAAATACTGCATCATCTCCAAGGAGTCATTTACTCTCCCCCAGCCCTGCTCTGTCTGTATACACGAAGCTACATTCCTGCAAACCAGCAAAGGAACAACAAAGAAACGCAGTAAAATTTGCAAGTGAGTCATAAACCATTATTTGGATTTGGGATTGGCTAGTGGGAGACAGTTCGACTCCCGTTTTCAAAGTTTGCGTTCCCACTGAGCTGAAACTGCTTGATTTAAGATCTTGGCCAAAGCACAAAGTCTGGAGAATCAACAGTCAAATGGAGCTATGAAGTCGAAACAGTCAAAAGCTTTGTTGACAACTTGGAAATGGAGCTGAAAAACTTGTACGTTTAGTTGGACATTTGGTGTTATTTGTGTTTCCCATTTAAAATCGGGTCCAAAGGCACTGATTCTGCTTTGCAATGGGAAGAAATGTTGCCTGGATTTAACCTCGTTTTCATAATTAAACCACAAAACACTTTTCTCAACAAGACAATCTCGAAAAAAGGGTTTAGGTTTGTACCTCAGCTAACTAAACATTTACACAGAACTTACTACTACTAGAATACGTCAAATGTTTATTTAACATTATGACGTGACGCAACTGAGAGTCTGACTTTTTCAGTGTTTGGACTAAGCTGCTCTTGGGAAGTTATTTTTACCACTGGTCGTGATAAGATGCTGCGTGTATTGTCAATTTTTCCGTGCCATTTCCTGAGTTTTAAGAATGGGAAGAGGTAGAAAACAGGATCACTCTCAGGAATTTGGTTTGAGCAAAATAAATCTGCTCCGTGTTGTGGTGAAATGTCATTACTTTGACTGACAATGCCAAATATTCCAGGATAAATATTTGGATTAAAATGTTTTGAGCTACTTACAAGTCACAAAGCAACCAAAGCAAAAAACGAAACATATGGCAGACAGAAAGTATTAATTAGTCTGATTGGGGAGGGGACAGAGCTGATTGTTGCAGAAGAACCATCTTTTCTAAATAAATCCTATTAGCCCCACATGCACTATTAAATCCAAAGGGCGCTTTATGTTAAACTTTAAGTAAGGATTTTACAATGAACTGGAGACATATTACACAGTCTAAAAGCCATAAAAGCGAAAACAAATGGCTTTATATGGGAAACTATAAAGAAAAACAAAATCGATTAACAAGATTCATCTAAAGCGTATGAAACTCAAATGGCGTAATTTGTTTTAGACCACAAACACACAGTAAATAAATGGCTTAGGCTGCTTAATGTCGTCTATTGTTCCATGAATAGCTTAAAGTTACTGAAGAGCAAAGCAGATTTTTGGTGGAAATGGGGAGGCACCGAAGCAGCACCGTCCTTTGCTGCTTGTTGACAAGTTATGACTATGGAGAAATAGTACCAAAGGTTGGACCAAGTCGTTGTTTTGCAAGTCTTAAGTAAGGCTCAAGTCTTTGACCTCAAGTCCGAGTCAAGTCCCAAGTCAAATACATGCAAGTCCAAGTCGAGTCTTGAGTCACTGACCCATAAATCCAAGTCAAGTCCAAGTCATCTGCTTTGAGCTTCAAATCATTTCAAGTCTTTAAACCAAACTATACCTTAGATTTTTGCAATTTATTGGACTTTTAAGATAAATTGTACTTTAAAAAAATCATAGTATATTTATATGAGTATTTATGTAAGAGTTGTAGAAATTAATTTAGTTATTTTTTTCCTTTTTAAATGTCTGGACAAGAGCTTAGTGTGAATCATTCTGATCAAAATAGAATTCAGATTTAAAAGTGCTTCTCAAGTCACAGGCCTCAAGTCCGAGTCAAGTCCCAAGTCACTGACCTTCAAGTCCAAGTCGAGTCCCAAGTCTTAGTCCATTTTTTCAAGTCTCAAGTCCTAAAAAGAGTGACTCAAGTCTGACTCGAGTCCAAGTCATGACATCTCCGAACAGTACTACATAGTCTTTCAAATAAACACATTTTTTGACATTATAGAGCAAAAGAATAAGATGAAACTCAAAGGTGCAGCCTATTTATGGAAATCCTTTGGCGAAATTCAGTTTACTTCAGTTCTTCACCACAATGGGCTGTTTCTGCTGGTATGTTTTTCAAGAAAAGCAGGGCAGACTGGGCTCCCCTACTTTAGGTGGGAATGGGGAAGCAGCGCCCTCAATTGCTGCTTGTTGATAAGTTGCTTTATAATCAAATAAGCCTGTCTGAGATTAAACTAAATGAATTAATTATTCTGTGTCTGTAGGATATTTGACCCTCTACCTCTGACTTTTACATTCAGCAGAGATAATGTGCTGTTTTTCTTAATGCTCCAACAACAACAAAAAATGCAAACTCTATCATAATAAAACCATATGATGTAGTTTTGGGGTTTTTTTGGCCATGTTTTTAAGTGTAAATGCTCTTTACCTCTGCCGTATCCCTGCGTGTGTTTGGCGAAGCTCCGGACCACGGCCTCCACCGCCTCCTTCAGCACCGCGGGGTTCGCTCCGGGGTTACAGTGTCCGCCGACCCCCAGTCCCCCTCCGAGCCCGGTGCCGAAGCCCATCCCGCCGTACAGACTGTGCAGCTGCAGCGGGGGCGGCGGTGGAGGAGGCCCCGAGGACAGAGACAGTGAGGCGGGGGACGGCAGCAGCGGAGCGACGGGCACCGTGACTCCGGGCCGTAGAGAGGAGCGGAGAGTCCCCGTGTTTGTCACCCCAGAACCGAAGCCGATCCCGGGCTGCAGTCTCTGGTGGCGGAGCGTGTTGGACTCCATTGTTTTCCCCTAATGAGTTGAGTATCCCGAGAACAGGGTTAGAATAAACGGATGGGAAATGTAAAAGTGTGTTTGGGTCTGATGGAGCGGGTCTTGTCCAGGCTTTGTCAGTCACGGAGGGAGTCGGCGCTCTCCGGTGCTCTATCCGGTGTTCATTGTGCACATAACGGAGCAGCGCTGGATTAGACAGCGACTCTGTCTGTCAGAGAGGCATTCAGGGACACTGGGAAAACGGAACATCAAGGAAAATCAGTCCGTTAACTGGTTTAATTAAGTTTTACATAGTATTTTAGTGTGTAATTTAATTAGTATCTACTTGTTTCTAATATTCTCATTAAGGATGTAACGATATCCAAATCTCACAGTACGATATTATCACGATATTCATCTCACAGTACGATATTTACTGAGATATTTTGAAGAAGCTAATATAATTGTAGATGGGCCACTTTTTTGCTTTTAAAATACCTGGACAAGATTTTTGTGTGAATTATTTCCAACATAATTCCAAGAATTCAAGCCAAAAACATATTTCCTCATGTTGTTTGCGCTGAAATGAATCATGGGATATGTAGTTCCCTATGTTTATTAGCTGTGGCTACTATAAAACCATGAATTCAAGCAAAGGAGACTTTTGACGATACGATATCACGATATTTCGGTTATTGTTACATCCCTAATTCTCATTATGGTTTGTTTTGAGACACACAGTCCATATAAGAAAAACAATTAAGTCTCTCATATTTGCACAAAGATATTCTGTAAAATCTGTATTATTGTGTTACAAGTCACCCTTAACAGATAATACTCCCTACAACTGTACAACTACTCACTTTTCTGCAACCGATAACACTCCCCACAACTGTACAACTACTCACCTTTATGTAAAAGATAATACTCCTTACAACTGTACAACAACTCACCCTTATGTAAAAGATAATACTCCCTATAACTGTACAACAACTCACCTTTATGTAAAAGATAATACTCCCTACAACTGTACAACAACTCACCCTTATGTAAAAGATAATACTCCCTACAACTGTACAACAACTCACCCTTATGTAAAAGATAATACTCCCTACAACTGTACAACAACTCACCTTTATGTAACAGATAATACTCCCTACAACTGTACAACTGTTCACCCTGATGTAACAGATAATACTCCCTAAAACTGAACAACAACTCACCCTTACGTAACAGATAATACTCCCTACAACTGTACAACAACTCACCTTTATATACCTGTCAATCATCATATCACTGTTGCACTGTCTTTTGATGACCTTTTGTATAAAGCTGAGATTTTTATTATTTTTTTATTCTTCTATTTTATTTTGACTTGTAGATTTACATTTATATTAGTATGTCTTATTTGACACCTGTCTCTTGCTCTTTTTTTGCAGTTTATTTACAATTTATTATTACGATTTATTTTTTAATTTAGTATATAGTGACAAGGGAGCTACTGTGTCCAAATAATTTCACTTGTGGATCAATAAAGTTGTCTAAGTCTAAGTTTAATGGGTTTTTGCACCTCAATACCTCAATCAAAAGTATTGAACTAAAGCTGGGTGTACACTATGCAATTTTTGGCTCTTTTTGGCATCATGTTTTGTGCTTCGTGTAGAAAACATGGAGTAACGAGAACTTATTAATATCTCACGACCAGCTCCAGATCAACAGTCGTAGGTCTCAAGAATCTCAAATCTGTTTAAAATCCAATCACCTCTCATGAGGATTTCACACTATTATAGTAGTTTCAATTTGGCCTAGGAAGTCCTTTTCAAGTATTTATTTATTTATTTACTTATTTGTTTCAAACCTGCAGATACAATTCACATAACAACATAACAATACAAATGCAGTTACAACTATGTACGGTTTGAAAAGGGGATGGATGAAGTAAAGCTTTTACATTTCCAGTCCCCTCCCCAGAAGTTTAATTGTGTCCATGTCTATGTTTAGTTAAAATCTCTAAATATTGCTACTTGTCCCTGTCTGTCTGTCTATTTTTTACGTGACATTTTGTTCATCTTCCCTCCCTTCATGTGATTGCAATCCATATGACTAATTCCCACTTTTCCCGAGCACTTGAACGCAGCAGAGGAAAGTCAGATAAAAATCAGGCCAAAGAAATCTGAGCCTCTGCTGTTCTCCTCCAGCCCCCAGTGCTCCAGTCCGTGGCATGTGATCATAGTACACAGAGCTGTACAGTCTGAGCCAAAAGTGACGTGGACGGGGCCAACAAACCAAACTCAAGAGTTATTGGACCACCAGGTTTGGGCAGAGGAACAATATCCACAAGGGAGAATAGAGGCATTATGTTCCTGGTGTTTTATGATTTTTCTGGTTTCTCTGCGTGTTTTTCATTCTTTGTGTGGTCCAGGGGTGAATCAGAGGATACTGTTGAATCAAATAGGAAAGATTCATTGTTTACGTTTGTCTTGATCCAATAAGGAAAGGAGGCGTTTTAGTAGCATAAGCCATTCTGGAAAAAATATCTCAAATAACCTAGAGCTGACCTACTTTTACTTGAGAATAAAATATCTATTTTTATTTTCTTGCTGTTTTAAATGCACTTTAGAAATAAAACTTGTGGTGATAACTGTTATAAGTTACAAGCTACAAATATGATGTTAGACCTTTACTGTTTTGGAAGGAGTAGGCCTAGTTTTTAGTGTTTGTGTTGGATAGAAAAAGTAGTAATAGTTTTAGCCTGTTCTGTTTTATTAGTTGTCTATAGAAACCTTGCACTAGTAATAATCAGTGGTGGAAGGTAACGAAGTACAGAAGTAAAAGTAAACATTTTACGTACCTGTACTTTACTTAAGTACATTTTACAGAGGATACTTTTTAGTTTTACTTCACTACATTTGAGAGCATGCATCTGTAAAATCACTATTTTATCCTTTAATAGTTAAAAAAAAAAAAAATTTTTAAAAGCAAAATACTTTTTACTCTTAAAATATGTTTTTAAACTTTTCTAAACTTTTAAACTTTTTTCATGTGATACTTTTATATGAGTAACTTTTTGCCTTTGTATCTGTACTTTTAACTCAGTAAAAAGTACTTCAGGGTACTTCAAGAGTACCTCATCCACTGGTTATTATATTAGTATAATAGCAGTATAAAGAGAAGGAGTTTATAGAAACAATAATATAAACTGTCTGAACAAATAGGGCCTATAACATCCAGTTTGGAGTTGAAGTAGCCTTTGTGTATATTTTACTGAAATTCTAGGTACAGAGTAGAGCCAGACACATGTGGTTATCGTGGTAATGTGTAATTTGATCTGGGTTCACTGGGGGGCGTACTTTCCCCCATTACTCACTTGAATAACGTCAACAATAACCTTGAGTGCACATTACAAGCCCTGTTCTTGTGTTTGGGTCTTTCGAAGAAGTCCAGTTTACATCCAATACTTTTAATCTGAAATACTCAAAACTGCCTCTAAAGGTACACTGTGTAAATTTTTTGGTAGAGGGTCAGTCAAATGCTTTTCTCCGTGGAAATGTTATTACTTTGTTTGGAATGTTTGACAGTGTGGTGTTCAACCTGTCTGCATCTATTTACATGGAGACCAGACCAAGTTACAAGTCAGATAGATCTGTGGACAGGCGACCCCGCTCACAGTCAGAATACTGTCTTTGAGCTACAAACCCACCTGTAATTTAATACATGTAAGGTAGAGCTGTTTAAAGTCATACTGTGGAACAATCCAGTGCGAAGGAACGACATATCCATAGAAACAAGCAGGTGACAGAGCCTCCACTTGAAAAGTTACACAATTCACTTTTTTAAGGAACACCCGAAATTAACTAAAATCTTCACTTCATTATGTGCTCTATTGTATCATTAAATTTTATTATAGATATTATAGGCTCTGTTCTCACTGTCTTTCTATTCTTCCTACTATTACTATTACTGCTACCACAACTTCTACAATGACTTCTTTTATTTTGGCAACTGATGCTCCTGTAAAGTCCTAGATCAAATATATTATTTGATTCATAAATGTTAGGCTACAATGAAAGCCAGTGTTTGGAGGCGAAACTTGTAAAAACATCAGCATTTATGAGGTTTGTACCGATATTTATATATGTAAATAGTGGTGGATGAAATACTCAGTTTTGTTACTTAAGTAAAAGTACAGACACAGGGGAAAAATGTTACTCAAGTAAAAGCATCACATGAAAAAAAATCTACTGAAGTAAAAATATTGAAGCACCTGTTAGAGTTAAAGTAATTTGCAGAGATTTTTAAAACAGTTAAAGGATGAAATGTAATGATTTTCATAAATAATTTAGCTCAGACATGTCAAACTCAGGCCCGCGAGATCATATCAAATATGTATTAGAGCTGCTCACTGGCTACAGATATGCTATAGAGACATTATTTATTTAAAATGTTGTTATTATTTTTTATTATGCTTGTTCTGAATTCACTGTTTAAGTCTATTATTAATCACTGTAAAGCATTTTGTGTTACATTTTTGTATGAAAAGCGCTTTGTAAATAAAGTTTGATTGATTGATTATTAAATATTTATTTTAATAAGAAAAGGTTTAACATTACATATCTCGAAGGATGTTGTTGAAATTTTTCAGTAAATATTTAGTTTGACCCACGACTTAGTCCCAGTTTTTAATTGTGGCCCTCTGTGAATTTGACACCCCTGACTTAGCTGATTTTAAGTGATTCAATTGATTTCTAAATTTTTGTAGCCATTTTTGTGTATTTGATTTGCTCAAAGTTGGGATTGAAACTCAAATCAAATGTGATTAAAAAATAAACTCAGTGCCCATAAAGAAAGGCACTTTTTATTTCTCATTCCAGATCTAAAATGTCAAATGTAGTGAAGAAAAAGAAAAAGTATCCACTGTAAAATGTACTTACAGATACAGATACCTAAAATAGTACTTAAGTATTGTAATTTACTTTTGCACTTCCACCACTGTGTATAATTGTCTTAACTTCTGCCAGATGAAATGTGAGGAGTGTATTTTTCACGTTTTGCTGCTACACTGTTATCCACTGGATCCTTGAATTCTTGACATTCTTTCACACGGGCAGCTTCACATCCAGAGCGCGCTGTTTACAATAAATACGGGATATAAAACAGACTTGAATACATTGAAATACATTTTGGCGTACACGGGGCAAAGCCAGCGACCATGAGCGAGGCCCACATTCCCACATCTGGATCTGATCAAATCTTATTGTCTGACTTTGAAACCACAACGTGAAGCTCTCTTGACAAATATTTCTCAACCTATGATACTGTGGTCCCTGTCAGGTTGGGTAAAGCTTACAATGCATGTATGCCTTCTTTTACGCAAGAATAATCACTAATAATAACAAAAATCACTTCACTGTAAGGCCTAAATTGTAACTTTTATTGGCAGAAAGGGGAGTTCATTAATGACTTTACAGCAGCCATAAAGATCCACAGATAAGTAACAGTGGAAAGCAAAGGTAGGAGAGTTAGATCCACATGGCTAAGAGCAAAATGACTCAATAGTTAAGCTTTGTTACTTAATAATTTCAGGTGGCAGCAAAGAGTAGACTACTGGATTTACGTTTTAGTACATTTTGTTTCACCTTTACTATTTACATCCACTAAGTATATTCATTTTGTAGCTTTAGTCTTTTCAGCAGTTGTTTCATGTGGAAAAGACCCAACAATAGCAATTATCTTCAGTAATTTTGGTAAAGGCAATCTCTACCAAATAGGCAAGGCAAGTTTATTTGTGTAGGACAGTTTGTACACAAAGTAATTCAAAGGGTTTTACAGAATAAGCGAGACATTTCTGAACATTAAGTAGTTTAGAGTGTTATGATGTAATACGAAATCAGGATATTTTACTTTGGCTGTAACCAGAGCTAGATGAAGGAAGTAAAAGTACAGCTACAAATGTAAAAAGTTACTCAAGTAAAAGTATCACATGAAAAAAACACTTAAGTAAAAGTATTAAAGCACCTAAAGAGTAAAATCTAAAATAATTTTCCAATTAAAGGATGAAATGTAGTGATTTTGAAAAATAATTTAGCAGATTTTAAGTGGTTCAATGGATTTCTTCTTTCTTTTTCTAGCTGGAAATGGACGGAAACTCAAATTAAGGTGCTAAAAAAACAAAAAAGTCTCTGCCATTTCAACAGGTCTCACACCATAAAGAAAAGTACTTTTTACTTTTCAGTCTAGATGTAAAATGTAGTTGAGTAGGAAGAACAGATACCTACTCTCAAATGTAGTGAAGTAAAAGTAAAAAGTATCCACTGTAAAATTTACTTAAGTGCAGGTACTTAAGTATTGATTGATTTACTTATGCACTTTGTTACCTTCCACCTCTGGCTTTTATACTTTACCACACTGATTTTCAACCAGTCTCCCAGGGAACACAGGTGCACCTTAGGACAAAATTCTATTCGGGTTCAGGTTATTTTACGTATATACATTTAATTTACTATTTTGGTGGTTCCTGAGCAACTTCTGAATCATTTGAGAAACCAAAACTATCATCATACCCCATAGAAAGAATTAGACACAGGAAAAAGGAAATATTAGCATTTCCAAAACTTTCCAGAATGGTCTGATTTGGTTATGTTTTTGTGAGTGAGCAATTTAATCCAAAAAGTGTCCCGTGGCTGAAAAAAGGTTGAAAAACACAATTTTACTTTACATCCTGTTCTGTCCTGCTTCCATGTAGTATTTGTCCTCCCCCACTATAACATACAGACTTTGAGACTGTGTGAGTAATACTTAGAATATCAAAGATTAGTTTGTAAAACCACAAATCCAAGAACATGTACTGAAGATTAAAAGGTCATATATGTCTTTTTTTAATAGACGTACAGCTGAGTTACAAAAAATGATTTGTGCCTTTGATTAGGCTTTATAAAATGTTTTAATTCTTGTGACATAAGCTCATTACATAATAGTATAAGACCTAATACTAATGAATTGAAGCATTATTTTATTATCATTGACCCACTTTCACATTCACAGAGTGTCTTTCTTAAATTTTAAATCAAGTTTGACTTAAAAAATAACTTCATAATCAAAGGAGTTTTATTACGATATACCAAACAAGCATCCTACACCATTGTATCTAATCTGAGATGCTGTTATCCGTACAGTGACCTCACCAGCCCTTCTCTGAGTTGTTGATTTGTTTGTAATCATCTTGATAAGATGCGTCACCCGCAGTGGAGTGTCAGCACGAATGGGACCCTTGGACTTTGTCAGACGGCGTTTAGGTGGAACTCGGAGCAGCAAGGGTCAATCATGAGACACCCACTTCCAACGAGCAGCCAATAACGTGTAGTTGGTCCTATCATCTTGTCCAATCAGAAGGCAGCGTCATCACAGAGTTAGATGGAGGTATAAAAAGGCTGAAGGGGCATTAAAAAGGCACCATCTGGTCTACATTGCCCTGCTGCACAGGTGAGTACACCGTTATGGTGTATGGGGATTTTCTGTGATGCCAATAAATATGTATGAACTGGTCAAATCTTTTCATTACCAGTATGTCGTCTCATATAAATTATAGCTTTTATCATGACTATACCAATTAGAAATTTACTGTAAATCTGAAGAAATAGGTCTAAATAAATAAAAATTCAAGATCTATTCAGAGTTCCTGATTGCTAAACGTCACTGCTTACTTACATGGAGATTTGATTAAGATTTTTAAACTAAAAGCAATGCACTTGGCTGAGGTGAACTTGCCTCACAGAAAGTAAGAGTTCCCAGAAGTGGACACAACTTTATTGATCCAATGTTTCGATTTGTTGCTCAATTATTTTTGTGTTCTGTACTAGGTCCGCTCAGTCACCATGAAGTACGCCATCATCGCCGCTCTGTTTGTGTTTGCCCTGGCTCAAGGTAAAAAACAAAAAGATCTACTCTAAAATATATATCTGTTATGTGGTTAATTGGATGTTGTGTGATGCGTACAGGGAGCCTGGCTCAGGATGCCTCTCAGGACCTGACCAGGATCACAGAGTACCTGGAGGATGCAAAGAACAAGATGATTGAGGAGGTGAACAAAGTCTTCCAGCAGAACGACCTGGCCGCCCAGGCCCAGTGAGTCACATCAACAAACACACAATTGTACAACCGCTGGAGTATAGACCTTTCAATTACATTTATGCTGCTCAAATTTAAGCAATATTTAGGACAAACTAACTTGGAGTCTTCACTGACAATAACAGTTTATCTACAGCTTTTACAGTTCTGTAGGACTTTTGATCATTTGGATTTCAGTGTAACAGGTCAGAACAAACAGATAATGCCTGAGAAATCATTGATACGGAGGAGAGAAACAGTTGATAAGTGACTGAACTGATGAGTGTCAAATGAGATTAGGATTATGTAGCCCATTAGCATTCAGTTGAGATTAGGTGGCTAGAATATTTTTTTTTATATATTTAAATTATGTGAGGTAGTCTGTTGGGAAAATGTTTGCATTTCTCAACACTCTACGATGATTCAAATGAGTTTTGTAACCTCACAGGACTATGCTGGAGGGCTCTAGGACCCAGCTGGAGGCCCTTGCCCCTCAGGTAGAGGAGCAACTGAGGACCGTCCTGTCGACTGTGGAGGAGCAGGTGAAGCCCCTGCAGGAGCAGATGCAGCCCCTTCTGCAGAACCTCCAGAGAGAGATGGAGGCTTTAGTACAGAAGCTCACAGAGAAGGCCAAGGCTATTGCTAACTAAGCCATGTACCAGTGTGCTAGAGCCCACTCTGATGTGCTTCAATGCTGTTTAACATCTGTCAAAAAACACAATAAAACTTGAAGCACAAGATGTGGTGATCATTTCCATTTCAATGCAACTTTACTTTTATCATGTCAGTTTAAATTTAAGAAGGCTTACCATTATGACCCAGTGTTTCCAAAATCACAACATAAACCCAACCCCTGGGTGTAAGTAAAAACACATCTAAATATCAAAATTCAAAAAGGTACAGCAATGCCAGTCGTTTTTGATTTTTAAAAAGTTATATGACCATTTCTGAAATTATATTGGAACAAAAAGAACTTCATATTTCAAATGTTTTTATTATTTTCCTTTTATTGATGCAAGCAAAAAGTAAATTCACAGTAAGAGTAACTGGCTTTCAATCACAGCCCAAACATTCAAAATTTAAAATGGATAAAATAATAAAGGAATGTGTTAAATACTGTATTATAATGACAAATGTCTCCTCTAAAACGCTTGAATATATAACCTATTTGAAATATTTTCTATTTTTTTGTAAGTTTTGATTTTTAATGCAAACCAGGCCAATTCTTGCATTTTAGGCCTGGTTGGACACTTGTTTAACTTTTTTAAGTAATTATTTTTACTTGTTTTACTTTGTTTGTACAGTTATTTTTTGTTTTTCCCCTTCTCAAGGTCCCACGCTCCTGCAAAGACACAAACTTATGATTAGCACTTCCGTAATATTTTGAGACTTTCAGTTTAGGTTCTGTTCTGTTCTCACCTTGGGTCTAAACACTTGCAGCCACAGCTGTGTTGGTCACAGTCTTTTGAACGGCTTCTTTGGCCTGATGAGCCTGGAGCACAGCAACTGCCTCATCCACCTGCTCACACACATGGCCAAGACAAACATGTGTGAAGTTGGTAATAAATATTTCTCCTCAGAATTCAGGCTGACTCCGACACACCTGACAGATGTGCAGTGGTACTGACCTTTGAGCGCAGAGATTCAGGAGACTCGAGCATGTGAAGGAGCTCAGAGTTGTCGATCTCCAGCAGCATCCCTGTGATCTTTCCTGCCAGGCTCAGGTGCATGTTCTGGATCAGGGGGAATAGGCGCTCTCCTGACAAAACCAAAATCATTCACATATTAAGAAAAATACTTATTGACTTTATGTAATTTGTGGAAGCATTAAGCATGTTTAAAGTCACACTTACCCAGCATCTGCTTTTGCTCTTGGGGCGGGGCAGCAGCCAACATGGAGGCGGTCAGGGGCTCCTGGCCCTGCACATGGACAGCAGCCTGAACACAAAGAAACAGAAATAAACTTAGCCACTGAAAATGAGGTGTTGAGGAAACGGGGGAGGTGTAAAACCTCAGCAGTGTGTACCTGCGGCATGCCGACCTGGGTTGGGGTCATGTGCTGCTGGGGGTTACGGACTCCTGCCGAGTACTTGTACTGAGGGACGCCACGTACAGGGGCAGCAGAGGGCGCTGCTGCAGCTGGGCGAGGGGCCATAGGCTGAGTGGCTGCACAGAGAAAACAAATCTCTTAACATGAAGAAAACAGCAGGAAAAAAGTTGAATGAGAGTCTGAGATGACTGACCGACTCTCTGGGCTGAAATCATACGAGGTATTTGGGCGGTGGGACGCATGGCGCCGAAGGTCTGAGGGCGAGGAGGCGCCGCCCGCACTGCAGTGGGCATACTCTGGAAGTCTATGAGCAAAAACAATGTGTTACTGACATGACATGGCAACTATATTGAGTGAGAGCTGTCTGACACTCACGCTGTGGCCTGACGTTCTGGGTGGCCCAGCGTGGGCTGGGGCGCAGCTGTGCCATCTGCCCTGCGGCAGGATAATATGCTGCACGATTCTGGGCCTGGGGTATGGTGGCCATGAAGTATCCAGAGGGCGGGGCTGGCTGGTAGGGGTTGATGACTGGGTTTGGAACAGCACGCACACTGGCCATACGCTGCATGTACTGGTTGGTGAGGTGAGCCTGTCGTTCCTCTTTCCTCTGTGCCAGAGCTACATACAGTGGCTTTGTGGCCACAATGCGCCCATTCATTTCAGTCACTGCTTTAGTGGCTTCCTCAGGTGAGGAAAAACACACAAAACCAAATCCTTTACTGCGACCACCTTCCAACATGACCTGGATAAGAAATCATGTATTCAGGACTTTGCATTATAGCAGAAGGTAAAAACTCAGCAAATTAACACCGATACCTTTGCACTGGTGATGGTGCCAAATGGAGAGAACTCTTTTCGCAGACGCTCATCGTCGATGCCATCATCAAGATTCTTCACATACAAGTTAACGCCCTGAGCATAAACAGATGTTTGCCATCAGTAATAATACAATACAAAATAACAGTATGCTGTGAAACGTACAGACAAAATAAATGATCTGTCTGAAGGACAAACTTATCCCCAAATTCCACTGAAGAGAAGTTGAGGCCCATGAACGACAGTTACTCTTGCAGCCATTTTGGCCAGTGCATCTTACAAAAAGGTGCACCGAATTTGACAAAGCTGCAGATTCATTATAGCACCATGCCAAAAATAGCCAGCCCACCTGGTATCTAGTCATTCTGTCTTGCTTCATTTGCTCAAATCGACGCCTGAGTTCAGTTTGACGCTCCATCTTCTTCTGAGCTCGTCCCACATAGATCGGTCTGCCCTGGAACTCCTTCCCATTCATCTCATCAACAGCCTGTGAAGAAGAAACACATTCACCTTAAAGCAAACAGTTAGTTGCTTTACAAAGAGTTTTGAAAAAGCACACACACCTTCTGTGCATCCTCGTGCCTCTCAAAGCTGACAAATCCAAATCCCCGGGATTTCCCTGTGGCATCCGTCATCACACGGATACTGAGAGCATTTCCTGTGCGCCAAAATCATGAAACAATAAACAATAAATCTAAACAATGACAAAATCTACACAATTAAAGTATGGACATACCAAACTGACTGAAAAGCTCCCTCAGTTTCTCATCATCTACATCATCTCCAAAGTTTTTAACATAGACATTTGTAAACTCTCTGGCCCGTGCTCCCATTTCAGCCTCACGCTCTTTGCGAGATTTGAAGCGGCCAACAAACCTGTAATAAAAATCAAAGCTCATTAGCACTTGTGGACAGTATACAACTCCCCAATGCAACAATTATAAACACGCTTACACTTTGCGGTCATTCAGCAGCATGCCGTTCATTTTCTCTATGGCACGCTCGGCTGCCTCATGAGTCTCAAAATGCACAAAGCCATAGCCCTTGGAGCCATTTTCATCACAAACAACCTTCAAAAAGCAATCAAAACAACAGTCACATTAAAAACCTAAATTCATGTCCATTAAAAACATGCATGTTAGAAGTTACTTCTACAGTAAAAGTAATGGAGAAAGACCAATGTAGTAAAGCTGTACCTTGCATGACAAGATGTTGCCGAAAGCAGAGAAGGTGTCATACAGAGCCTTGTTGTCAATTGACTTGTCAAGATTCTTAATGAAGATATTTCCTACACCACTCTTTCTCAATGACGGGTCACGCTGGGACCACATAATGCGCACCGGACGCCCCTTGATTACATCAAAGTTCATAGTGTCCAGCGCACGCTCAGCTGTAGAAGAAAGTATAAACAGATGTTTCTGTAAAAACAACTTGCAACTACTTTATGATAAATGCAAATCAGTTGTCACCAACTAATATATTCAACTTTTCCATCCATGTAGTTCAAGTTGTTTTCTTAACATGCATTTAGCCTTTATTAATTTGGGGGAAATGTGCAATGAGTCCATTAACATGTGCAGGCGTTATAAGGCTCATCAGCCACAAAGGGCTCGACTGTCAATCACAAAAGCTTTGATTTTGGAGAGGGTAGTTAAGTCGATTTTCAGTCACCCCCTCTACCCTGGACAACCCCCACTAGAGTAAATTTACATTTGAGAGCAGCTCCAGGCCCCTGCAGTGTAACTCTGAAGGACACTTGTAGTTACAGTAGATTATGTCAATAAACAACTTAAATGTTGTGTTTCCACGTTATTAAAAAATATTTCAGAAATGAACAAATATATTGAATCTGATCTGTAAAACAAACACACCCAACACACGCCCAGTCCTGGTTATCTGTGGTCAACAGAAACATGGGAAAGGGGGAGTTACAAGATGAACCAATTCAAAAACAAAAATAAAGTTGTTAGTTTTGGACAAACATAAAACACGTTTTTTCCCCCTTTTAATCAAATCACTGAAGGGGTCTGTTGGTTAGCACTTCACTGCAACATTATTTTGGTAGGCAGGGTAGCTGGGGTTAAACTTTGAGCCAAGTTACGCCTCTGCTGATGGGAGGTTCAACCGGGGAGAGGTTTCTACAACATGTCGGCCGCAGTCACGTGTAATACAAGCAGTCTTGGGGAAGCATCTTAAAGCGTCTGTATATGTATATAACACTGACAAAAACATATTTTGAGAGTTATCTTACCATCTGCAGGCTGCTGGAAGTTGACATAGGCGTATCCGAGGGAGCGCCGAGTGATCATGTCCCTGCAGACCCGGATAGAGAGGATGGCTCCAGCTGGGCTGAATTTCTCGTACAGCATAGCCTCGGTCACATCCGTATGCAGGTCCCCGACGTAGAGAGAAGCCATGGGGTAACTAGGAGCGCTGGGGTTCATTTTGTCCGACTAAAGAGGCTCGAAACTACAGCGTCAGCGTCGAAATGAAAACTTTGCGACGGTTTATGTGGAGTTAACGGTCAGTGGAACGGCGTCACTCGCGACAGAATTTAGATGAGCCGTTGGCCTGGCCGCCGCAGCGTGCTCCGCTCAATGTACAACAAAAGGACAATGTGACCACTTAAAACGCGAATAAAACGATCACACAACTTTGCCACTACTCACGCGGACAACACCGAGTCAAAATTTCGCCCTATTTCCAATAACACGTCGTTTAAAATGCCGTTTGATGGATTACACGTTGGCTTGGCAGCAAGTTCTTAGCGTCCGTTACCTTCGAATGTCTCTCAAGTCCCACTCCGCAGCTCGTTACAAAAGATTTTAAAAAAAATAAAGAAGAAGAATTTTTTCGTTTTTTATATTTTTAGATTTTTTTGTATTTTTTTTGTATTTTTATTATGTGTGCCGAGCGGGCTCAGGAGCACACACGCACTCACGCAGCACTATCAGCCGGGGTTGAGGGGAGGAGAACGGGGGAAAGTTGTGTGCTTTATACTTCCGGATGAGTCACTGCAGCGAGCCAATGGCGCTGAAGCAGATGGGCGGTGGGCGATGATGAAATAGTCCGAAACTACCTCACATGTTCAATTTAGCGTTAGTTTTGACACATCAAACTCTTTTACCTCTCTAAGCTTCACAGATCTATTTAATCTTGTAATTACGACAGGGCTGCTGCAAATGTTTCCCCACGTCCCCAGATTTCAAAATTATTCATGAACGCAATGATCTTTTCGCATCTATTATTGTGTCACCTCATGGTCGCAGGCCTCCTCAACCACATGGAAACCTCTGTTCATTACACAATCTGACTCTTAAGGTCCTTGACAAAAAAAAAGCCCAGACACTTGCACCATACTGTAATAATAATAATAAAAAAAAACATAAATATTTAAATTTGATATTTTTTTAAGTGCCATAACTCTGAATTTAGAATTTGCCAGGACCGTACAATGTACACACAGAGCGACAAGAGGTACCACTAGTGGTAATTGTGTACAGGACAATTCTTCGTTCTTCCTCTTCTCTGCCAAAAGGGCCAGACTGTGAAACTGCAACCAGCTGATTTAAAATTAGGAAACAATAGCAACAAATGTAAAAGTAAATTCAAATTATTCTGTTTCCACCCAAAAATGCACTCAATGAAAAGATTATTGCATTATCTGTATGTAACTATTGTGTCTTGTCTGTTTTTATGCATATATTTTTATTTTTTCCACGGACAGGTCTTGAAAACTTGCACTTGTGGAAAAAAACAACTCTAAGCAATGCATATGGCTTGTCTAATGCGATTGTGATGTCCTTAAAAAACATTAAAAGAAATATAATAATCTATAGTGTTATTTCGATATAAATGCATCGTGTTTTTTTATGCATCAATATGGAAATAACACCGACAAGAATACGACACACACCTCATTTCTAAATCGCACATGGGACGTTTTAGATTCAATACTCATCACCATCAGTAGAGGGCAGCCATTTTCAATATAACACTGTCCTTTAGCGTCCAGTCCACAGTCCTTTTTAGGACAAGCCTTTTTCCAAGTGTGGGAAATGTAATTAGAGGTTGAAATAAAACCATTAACATTGCAGCTTTAAATTGAATGTTTTAATTCCACTTACATGAAAGCACATAACCAGAGAGCAATTAGTAACCGTAAATCCTGCAACCCTCTGCACAGCCATACAGTGCCATCATATATAACTGGAAATGTTGATTAAAGGCCATACTTTTTAATAATCCAATCACACATGGGAATGTCACAACAAAATGGCTTACATCTTAGAGAGAATCCCAGGTTCATTACAAGCCGCCAAATCCATAATACCATATTGCTGAGAACGACAGACATACCAGGAATCAAAGGGAATTAAACACACAAATGAAAATACAAAAACACCTGAATAGAAAGGTATAAAGCCACAAAGAGGCACATGACCTAAGTATTCTCTGTACTGAGAAAAAGATAAAATATCAAAAGTTACAGTATCAAGCCATTTTAAAAGTTGTTCACTTTTTCTGAGGCCTCAAGTCATGTGGCATGAAAAATGAATATAGAAACAATATAGTACATTGTCAAAAGAAAAAAGTCAAGCACAATGGAATGTAACCTTTTAGTAAACTAAAGAAACGACACTTTTAGCATGTGGCTAATTATGGACAGTCATCTTTGCACCTGATCGCACAGAAAACCCACCACGCCACATAACACAAGCACCAGCCATAAAAAGCACCAGTTCAGCAGGCAGAAGGATACAAACTATATCATGCTCACACCATTTTATAGTGTATATGCTTTCAAGGAGTTTTGGCGTTGGGGTTTGTTCATTGTGCAATGCCATCAAGATTGATGCACTACACAAAAATGTATTTGAAGGACTGGAATAGGCTTTCAATTAGGATTAAGTTATGGACAAAATAATCAAACCTTGAGATAATTTTTCAGTGGTGGTGCTCATACATTTAACACACAATGTTTTTAGCGCATACATACTGTACTTTATACTTGGGAGTGTAAACATACATGTGTGTTCATGTATGTGCACACGCAACCCACATGCGCGACTTAGGCTGGTGAGAGGTAAAAATGTGTTCAAGGATCTTTGTGAAGATCACTGTTTATTATCCTCGTCTTGCGGCAAGTCTTCACCCTCGCAATCGCCCTCACCGGTGGTCCACAGCTGAAAAACAAGCATCCAATCTTTCAGCTTTCAATACAACTGTCTACATCTAAATAATGACGCAGTTGTACTAAGAAAAACTTAAACTGTCACATGAATGAGAGGACAATGGCTACTCACTGTCAGATTGTCACGGAGCAGCTGCATGATTAAGGTGCTGTCCTTGTAGGAATCCTCTGAGGTGGTGTCCAGGTCATTAATGGCCAAATCAAAAGCCTGTGTGAGAAAACCAGTAGCAATTTAGCACAACTGTTTTAATTTATCTTAACGGTAGTACATGTGTTGTGAGCTCCAACAGATCTGAACACTTTATCACCATGTAACATCTTTCTGCAATTGTCAATAAATCAACATAAAAATAGTGATCAGTAAAATTAGTTTTGGGTTTGAAGGTTCACTTTACAGGTAGTGACTTTGGGGAAAAATATAAAATTTTCACATATACCTTATTTAAGTAAATAAGACATTGTTCTTACTTTCTTAGCTAATTCACAGGCCTTCTTCTGGTCATTAGCAATCTCGTAATAAAAGACAGAGAAGTTAAGAGCTAGGCCTAGCCGGATGGGATGTGTAGTGGGCATGTTCTGGCTGATTTCCAATGCTTTATTATAGGCTGCTTCAGAGTCATTGATGACTTCTGCAAAACAGTTAGACAAGCGTTAAAACAATTCTATTTGTATTTGAGCCACTTCAGTTAAGAAGTAATTGTAACTGATGCCAAAATTGTACATACTTTGCTTCTGGTCTCCACAAGCCACCTCAGCCTGATAACGGAAATAATCTCCCTTCATCTTCAGGTAAAAAACCTTCCCCTCATCTTTGCTTGACTGAGGAATCAAGAACTTTTCAAGCAACTCCTGTAAAACACAATAAACACCAACTTTGAAGGACTCAAAGGAAGGGTAATTTTAACTTGAATTAAATTCATTTACTAGTGTTATTAGTTACTTATCGTTACTTATTAGTTACTTATCGTTACTTATTAGTTACTTATCGTTACTTATAGTAATTAGGACTTATCCTTACCACAACTTCAGTACAAATGTCATTCAGCTCCTTTTCAATTTCCTCTCTGTAAGTCTTGGCTAACTCCGCATTTTTGGTGTCACCATTCTCAGAATATTTCTTCTCTTGGCTGGTCAGCATTCTCCAGCCTGATCTCCGGGACCCCACCACATTCTTGAAGGCCACAGACAACAGGTTACGCTCCTCCACAGTCAGAGGCTCCTTAGCTTCCTGAGTGACTTTCTTCATGGCCGTTGCCATGTCATCATAGCGCTCAGCCTGCTCGGCTAGTCTGGCCCGACATACCAATTCTTCCTTATCAGGCATGTTTGCTGTGAATGAATGAAAGCAAGCATGAAAATGACTATATAAAAGATGTATTATTTTATAACAAATATTTGATGGCCAGTACACAAAAGAGAAAAGGTGAAAATGTTAATAAAACTGAATGTAATTTGGAGAGCATTTTAAAAGCTTGTAACCATCATGCTTCTGGTATTGAAAGAAAATTTAAATGACAAAACGAATTTTAAAAACAGTCACAAGACCACACTCAAAACCACCACACTACAAGAAAAGTCAAGGAGCGATCTAAATAGGCAGTTTTGTCAAAATGGCAATCTCACAAACTCAAGCATTAAATAATTTAAATCACAAAAACTAGTGCATCGTGGATTTTAAACTCCTAAATTATAGTAAAAACATGCTAAGAATACCAGATTAATTTGTAATTTCTTACCAACTACTCTCTTCAAAGTTGGAGCCAATAGTTGGATAATAGGAATAAAAAGGTGTGACTGAAAGTGAGATTTGCCAGCATGCACACACCTGCGCCCTTTACAGGAATGTGGGCCACCCAGTTTCACGTCACACCTGCCTGCTAAAGCTAAACGCTGTAATAAAAGAATAGAAAAAAAACGGACAGGAGGGTTTGTATCTATAAGGCTTAACAGTAAATACATATAATATGAATAGGACTGTCTAAACCATTATAGGGGGACAGCATTCTGTTTTAAAGACAGGGTAAAACGTCCGGGACCAGCCGACGTAAACGCCCTTTTTGCTTCCTGGAAAACAGCCCATCGCGTTCGTTTCAAATATTTGCCATTATTATAGTTTTCAGATACGATTCAAACGCAAAGTCAGCAACGTAACGTTAAAACCATCACAAGACGGCAAATGGAAGAAATTGCGTGGGGTGCATATAGCCCATCTTTCTATGCAGGCACCGAACAATGACTGAGCAAGTAGCCACTCGCTCGCGGACATGTACATCCCTTTCTCGGCGGATTAAAAGATGCGCGCCCGAACATTAACAATACCATAGACTAAATGTAATCTCTAACTCTTTTCGTAGCGATATTGGAGCATTATCTTACCTGTGTGGTCCGAAAAACGCAGTTATTCTGCTTCCTGCTCGTACAGCTGATGATCGCTCCCGCTCTTCCACGGGGTTTCCCTCCAATCAAAGAACAAGCTGCAGGGTCGCGCTGGGAGTAATGACGTCACAGCCGCGTTGCCTGGAAACCACATTTTAACAACAAAAATAGCAAATACCGAATAACTGAGGATAAAGTTTTTCCGTTTGACAGGGTTACGTCTGTTTACACATTTATTGCACATTTAAAACTATAAATGAATTTTAACAAAACGTTTTACCATAAGTTGAGCTTCCTGTTCAAACTTGCTTCGCAAAGGCTCATGGTAAATGTAGTTTTCAAACGCATGTAATTGCCGCATGTTGCTGACTGGGGAAACCAGTGCGGGTAATGAACAACAAAATCCTCTATTTGGATTTGCTTTACAATTACCTATTGCACCTGTATTAAATGGGTCCTGCCGTCTTTAATCATTACAGTATAATAACTGTGCTATATTTTAAATATGGTTTAAAATGGTAAATGGTTTTGCCTAGAATCTGTAAGTTTTTAGACATGTAGAGGGGTGTACTCTACTGTCCAGCTGGTTGCTTTAAGCCCAGTAAAAAGATAATCAAGAAGGAACCCCGCATATGAGTTTTAAAATAAAACCCACGGCCCAAATGATAAAACTAAAACAAACAAAAAAAACAGTGGTTGCTATAGGAAGAGGATGCAGGTGACAGGAACAAACTTGTTTGCTGTAGTGACTCAGAGACTAAAATAACTAAATGACAATAAGAATATTGAATAAAGCACAGAGTAATCTTTGAAGCCATACAAGAAAAATGGGAAAGGAAGAAAAATAAAGTATGATTTATTACACATTATAAAATACAATGATCAGAATGTCTGACAGATTTGAGGGCAGTTTAGTAGACCCACTCTTATTCCATGACAGTAATTATTTAAAGAAAATTAATCCCACTTTGGTCTATTTACTTGCACATGGATTATTTTCTGCAGTATTACAAAATGTCACGAGACAATCAAGTCACCAGGAGTGAGATGATGAGGTACATTGTGCTTGTAGTTGGACATATCACACATCTATTCAATCGAGGACTTGTTCAAAGGCAGGTTGGCAGAAATGAGGAAAACAGCCTCATCATGATTACATCACTCCTTTCAGACATGGACAAGGGCAGACTTGGTGCACTGCTCTGAATAATCCATTTGGTATCCATGGTAAGACTCAAGTGGAAAGAACCATTTTACGCCTCCACTCCCTCTAGTTCTGGGGGCAAAGGGGACTTCGGGTGCTTGCTTTCAAAGTGTTGTTTGAATGTTTTTGGGTCAGGCATCTGGGACTGCAAAAATATGAAATAAAAATAACATAGATAACATTATTCAAATAGTTAGCCTTAGAGACATAAAAATAACAATTTTAAATATATACCCTGAAAATGTGTTAACATTATATTTTACACGTGTTTACATATTTAACAAATGGATATGGGGATTAAATCCTTTTTCATTATTCTTTGTAGTATAGTCACACATTTGTTCAGTGTGCCACTCTATAAAATCCCATTACAATTCAAAATTAAATGTAAATTTGTCAACAACATTGTGTTTAAATCATGACATGCCAACCTTGCATACACTGCAGCTGAAAACTAGAGCTGCTTTGGCTGCCGTCTTCTGGTCATGTCCCTTTGCCTTCTTCATCTCGGCCTGCTTCTTGGCATTTTTTTGCTGGGACTGAATCTTTTGATGCCCACGAGCCATGGTGGTAAAATCTGCTACAAGAAATGTTATTGTCATTGTTATATTAGAATACAACCTTGTCATTGCCTGATCTCGTCTCTTCTTAGCAGCTCAGCAGGTTTGGGCCTGGGATGGAAGACTGCTAATATCAGGTGCCTCAGTGGGGCAGCAGTGGCAAAAGTGCATACTACTGCTGTTGGGTCCTTGGGCAAGACACTTCACTGATCTTGCCTATTGTGAAGGTGGAGTGTTGTGTAAGTCTGTAAGTAATGACTGGTGGTGGTCACAGAGGCTGATGTGCAGACTGATAGCCTCTGTTTTGTTAGTTTACCTCAGGGCAGCTGTGACTACAGTAGTACTCCACCAGCACCAGGTATAGAGTGAATGAATAATGCACACAATCATAATGTATTATTATTATTAAAATTATATTATACACTACAATATATACTCTACAATATAATATACATCAATATTTAGTATGATACATGCCCTTTGGACAATACACTGGCACTTCCCTGTGTCCAAGAGAGGCTAAACAAGGAAATGTGAGGTACAAGAAAGTTAGACAGGATATTGTAAATAAGGGTACTAATACCAAGGAAAGACACTACAAAGAGAAACGATTACTCACAACATCACAGAAATGTCATTTCCGTGCTAAAGACACAGAGGGACTTAAGACCAAGAGCACTAGACCCCCTGGTAATCCAGCCCCTCTTACGAGCTACTACTATAAATAACCCATTAGCTATAGTCCATGCTGGCCACCATACTTCGTAGAATTCTCTCTCCTGACAATAATAATTTTTGTGTAACTGTACATGTATAAATTATCACAATTTCGACGTGATTAAATGTTGTCTGTGTATTATGTCTGCAACATTGTCATTTGAAATGCCAAATGTTCTGAACATTTGAGCATATACGGTTATTTTAGATGTAAGGACTATCAGAAAACGACATCACCTAGCTCTAAATGCTTAGAAAGCACACTCTCTTATGGACAAACCAGTTTAGCATGAGGCTCGAAAGTCAGACCAAAACATCAATCCCCACGAAGGGTATAAAGTCAGCTGGCTAACACGCTAGCCACATGGTTTAGCCTGACCAGTAGAGTCTTAAAATCAATAATTTTACAAATAATAGAACAGTACGAGCTAAAATAAGACATTATAAGACAACAAATCTTACCTGGAAAAGACTGATTGTCGTGAAACAAGTTAACACAAGCTAGCTCAAGTGACAGCTGCTCGGTTCACACTGACAACTGAAGGCAAATGTCGCTTTCAAATGGCACAGAAATTTTCAATTCTCAATGACCAAAAACCAAAGTACGACACATAAACATTGTTTTACCAGTCTGTAAAGCAAGCCAACAAAATATGTCATTATAGCACCAATATGTTATCCTTGCTCTTAAAAGCATAACCAAAAGTTTGTGTTCCTGACCTAAATAGTCTTAAATCGTGTTAAATGATGCCTTCATAAAATACTTTAGCTATATTTAGCCAGTGTTGGCACCATTTTTTAGCTATGTAAATTTCACGTCACTTCAATGAACAATGAGAATCGTTAAAATAATTAAATAAATCGTTAAAAGGTTGTTGGAAATTTACGCGTCTATCAAAATCCGCGAATGCACCAAAATGCTTGGGAAATCAAAGGGCCAGTCGTTGGTAGTCAGCTATGTTGCCCTCAAGTGGTACAATTAGATCAATGCACATGTACTTAGACTGCAAAGAAGAGGGATACTCTTTGCAAAAACACACTCCGCCCCCCACACACAAATACACACAAACACACACACAGACTTGCGCACTAGGCACTATACAGGTATGCAAATAAGCACATTTGAATTGTGAGTTATATTACGCTTCATCAAAATATCTGGTTTGCACTGTATGCTCATTTATCTGTTCCATCTGATGTGGTTTTCCAGACAGAGATACAGTGGAGCTGTTCTCCTCTGGGCTTTATTTGACTAAATTCTGCTAATATGTAAATAATCTGCAGTTAGTCTATCTCTTCTCTGAATGGCTCCCATACGACTAAACACCAGTTTCATATCGATGTATAACTCATGGTTAGACCTTGACCGTGGTCTCACTTAACATTCAAGTCCCTACCTGTGTCTATATTAACCCCCCACCCTTTTGGTCATTATAGCATACTTCAGTGACTGTAAGGTATGAGTATCTAGAGAAATGTTATCATTGTGAGAAAATTCCCCTAGTTGATGCCCTTCCTCCACTTTTTCACCCCATAAGTAAAGGGAGACCCTCCTCTGTCTTTTGTGAATGGGGAAATGTCTCTCACGGGGAAAGGATGTGATTATGCTTTCATAAGGGGGGCAACAAGTCAAAGAAAGACAGAAAGAAAAAAAAGGTGCTTATGACAAAAGCCACACATTGCTCAAGTTCCCCCGCCCTGAAGGTTTTTCTGTGCATGGACATGCTGCTTATGTGAGGGGTGGGGCTGATAGGCCTCAGGGCTGGTGTGAAAGCAAATCTTCCAGGTGTCAGCCACTCAATAGCACAGGAGAATATCATCTGCTTGGCCATTGTGAAGGAGAATAAGAATAGGTTTTTCCCGTTTGGTTTCTGTCCTGCTGCCACAGGGGCTTTCAGGTCTTGTCAAGCTGTTTCTGAACAATATTTTGATATCAATAATGCAATACTCATCAAAGTGATTATTCCTGAGTGCATTTGGTAAGAATAGTATAGTAAAATGTCAGAATAATTAATTCATTAATACACTTTATTACATACACGTCTGTGCCCTGACACTGGAGATAGTGGGTTGGATCCTGTGACCTCCTATTGACCAAAGACATGCATGTTTGAGTTTGAGTCATTTACAGACTAGAGCAATAATAAATACAACAATAAAATAATCTAAATTGTATTGTCAAAACAATTATCCAAAAGGAAAATGCACAAATAATGAAAAAGAACATTTAGCAGCAATAATATGGGGACATTAAAGTATTATTATATTATGATTATATTTATATTAGTGATCATGTTCTTTTACAATATGAAATTTACATGCTCAAGTCTCATTTGAACAATATTAACCCACAGAATGTTGTGAATGTGAGTATGTGTCAACTGAAGCTTGTCAATTGTTGTAAGGAGAAGAATTATCACACTAGGAAGTGTCTCATCTCTTCCTGCCCTCTCAGTGCACTCCGCTGTTTTCCTCCTTTTTCCCAATGAACAGGTTTAGCCACAGTCCACTGCACCACTGTGACATGCCACAATGCTGCCAGACCAGTCGGGCCGAACTCACGTCTTTGACACAGTCACAACACTTGTAACTTTCACTGCATTCGCTTCACAGACAGATCACATGACCCTGTCCTCCTGCAAGAAATGTGGATTAGCAATGGAATTTGTATAATTTACTTTTATGTGCACTTAAGTAGAAGGCGTCACTTTCAAATGTCCTGAGCTCAGTAGTGGAAGGTAACAGTACAAAAGTAAAGTACATATTTTACATACCTGTACTTTACTTCAATTTAATTTTACTGGATACTTTTTACCTTTACTTCATCACATTTGAGAGCAGGTATCTGTACTTCCCACTCCACTACATTTTAGATCTGAGCTGAAATACTCAAGTACTTTTCTTTACACTGCTGAAATGGTGGAGACTTTTTTAGAACATTAAATTTGAGTTTCTGTCCCAACTTTGAGCAAACCAAATATACAAAAGCAGTTAGAAAAAATAAGAAATCAGTTGAATCACATAAAATCTGCTATAACCACTATATTTGATCCTTTAATTGTTCTAAAAATCTCTGCAAAAGACTTTCACTTTTTGTAAACAGGTACTTTAATACTTTTACTTAACTGGATTTTTTTCATGTCATGTTTTTTTACGTGAGTAACTTTTTACCGTTGTATCTGTACTTTTACCAAATTTAGTGCTTCATCCATCACTGCCCGACCCTAACAATATTTTCTGGATATGCCTTGAGGTGAAGTTAATTTCTTACTCAGGTAGACAAAAATTTGGATCTGCACAGAAGCAAAGGTGATTGCTGAGGTCAAACTGTGAAATGGACAGAGGGCGATTGTGAGAGTGGCAACAGCAGCTGCTTTCTGGGTCCCAAAGTCAAATATTTGTGGATTTTAAACAATGCAATAAGTCAAGCCTAATATTTCATAATCACTTATCGAATTCCAAGAGCTGTGACTCATGCCGATATTTTTATGACTATTTTGCATAATATCCCTGATAAGTTTTACATCCCTCAATCTTTATATCTCCTGGAATGAGTTACATCAGGTAGGGCATCTTACAAGTAACCTATGAATCATCAATTAACAATTAAAAGTACAGTATCTCTCAATCTCTCTCATTAAACTTATCTAACATTTATTGAATTGCAGTTTTTTATTGCTCAATTATAGCTAAAAAAAACATGCATTCTTGCTTTGAGTAGGATTGGAAAATGTTCTGTACAGACCAAAGATAAGGAAAAAAACATGTATTGCCATGAAGTTATTAAAGTACCCATGGCAGGTTGGACGGCTCAGTTTACTAAAACACACCTAAAGTCCTTATATTTAAGATTTACCTAAAAATTGTATAATTCTTCTCCCACTTTGACCATTTTTTAGGTTTAAAATGGTATGTCCTGGTTGGAAATCATGTTATCACTAGGAAATTTAATAGCAACCATGTTATACAGCGGTCTAAAACTCCTCTAATGTACACAGAGATTATTATTTAACAAACAGAAATATAAGATAACACATTTATTTTGTGGAAATAATGTTAAAAGTGTATGAAAAAAATATGATGTTGTGTAAACTGTGCTGAACTTTTGGACAGAACAACATATCTATCTACTTTTCTTCACAAACTGCTTCTTGATTTATGTAAAACTATCATTTATATTTACAGGTATTATCACAGCAAATTAAATCTTAATTAGAGAATAATCACAACCTGTCATACGCACTTTAAATATAAAAATATGTAATTACCACAACCAAAAACAACAGGGTACGTGCTTGTTCTGTCTGGCTTTCAAAATTAACACGCCTTAATTTTAAGTATTATACATTTCTCAAATAGTTAAGCCTTCCACTGCCCACCACAGTGACTCCTGCATGTTACAACGGCCACAAAATCACAACAACAGATTATCCAGGCCAGGCCCAGACAAGCTACTGTCCTGCCTGAAACGCTCGCGGTATGTAGGACCCACCTTTCACCCCTCTCTCACACTTAGCACACACAATCCTATGGGAGAAGAAGGGACTGGTTTTCCTGTGCGTGTGGCGGCTTGCACATGGCCTTCTCAGGATTTCTGCTGTCATAGACCCACATGACAGACATTCCTACAAGTACAGTCTATGTAGAGAGACAAAGAAGACAGACATGTGCAGTTATCACATTAGTGAAATTGTCTGAAAATATTAGGGTGGAGGAGGTACTGTAAAAACACATGTAATTATATACAGTTTTACAAGTATTTACCACTACTACAACACATCCTGTCCATAGTCTATTCTGCACTATATATAGAAGTATAAGTAGTAGTAGTAGTCAAAAGTTGGTAAAAAGTTTTAGAACACCACACTTTTTCTAGTTTTTACTATTTACTGTTGACCAAAACATAGTCTAAACTTTTGATTCATGAAAGTGTCCACCTTTGGCAGATATAACAGCTGAACACACTCGAGGCTCGTTCTTTTTACAATAGAAATCAAATATTATTCAGAAAGTTCTTCCCAAGTCTGTTGCAGAAGTTCCCATAAATGTGTGGCACTTGTAGGTTGCTTGTCTTTCACTCTTCTGTCCAGTTCATCCCAAAACCAGCTCAACTGGGTTTAAGTCTGAAGACTGTGCAGGACACTCTATTTTTTCAAACTTATCATCTTGTTCTTTTTTCCTGAGGTAGTTTTAGCAGAGCTTGGACTTGTGTTCTGTATCCTTTTTTTTTTTTTTTTTTTTAACTTCTGTCTGTTCAGCACTTACCTTTGTACCATTTCAAGCTCTTCATTGGACTTGCATGACTTGAATTGCAATAAATAACTGGAAAAATCAGGGTGTTCTAATACTTTTGACCGATAGTGTATGTCTACTGAGACTACTTCTTTATTAGTACTGCAACTAATTCTACTCTGCCACTACTTCTCTATCACTTTATCCTCAGCTACTGCCATTGAACACCAAATCATGTCAGTAATGGATTGTACACTACACTTATAATTAGACATGTTTCACATAGAGCTTTGCAATGAATTGAATCAGCCTAATTGGCAATGATACAATAGTAATTTTAATAGCACATGGTTTGGAGCAGAGTTCAGACTTTCCAGAAGCAAATGTGGCTGTTCTTGTGTGTTAAAGGCAACGATTATATTATATATTCTTTAATTAGGTATATTGGTATTTAGTTATTTGGTTGTCTATGTCATTGTTTTTGAAACTTTTTTTTTCTGGGGTCCTATATTTTAAAAGTCACAAACCTTCAGTCAATAGACATTATTCTTGAATCACAAAATAAAGGTGGATTTGACCATTACTGGACATTAATGAGGATATTTTATTGTTGACTGACTGATTAAATGAACAAAAAGATTAGAAATTATACAAAACATGTTTTAACATTTCAACATTCTAATGAGATAGGTGGGCTTGTCTGTGTTTTTGTAGTGTGTTCCAGTCCGGGGTGCAGGAGGAGAATGCAACACACAGATCAGATGCAGCATTCACTGTTTCTGTGCTTTGTCGTCATTTTTGTGAGCACAGAAAATCCCAATTCACACATATATGTAGTAGTGAAAGGAATAAGCATAGAAACACTCGCCCTACTGAGGACAGGATATGAAATGCTTATCCAGAATGTCGATAAGGTCACAGATCCATGTACACAACTGTATATTGCAGAAGTACATGCAGATCGTGACAAGGTGAACCAAAAAAAATCTCTTGCCACCCACCTGAGGGTCGTGACCCACTCTTTGGGAAACAATGGTCTATAGAACATGTTGGTTCCAAGTCTGGTCTTTATTCCATGTTAGTAAAAATGTTATAAAAAGCAAACTGAATGTGGTTTGTATTACCTTTTTTCTATTGACAGCCTGGATGACTGCGAATTATCAAAGACATTTTCCACCTTGTCTCTCCAAAAGGACTCCACCTGTATTTATACAACTACTCCATTTAGACATACAAAGCCAGCAGAGGGCCAGGTGCGCTGTAAAACAAATTAGCCAGGAAGGATACTAGCGATAGTCTGCACAAACACTCATGCACCCAGACATACACAACCAGAACGGCCGTTGAACTGAATTTGAAACGTAATTTTCACATTTCCATACTATAGCCCGGGGGTATTCATAAACAAAGGGCCTGTATTTGGGAATGCAAACACTGCAAAAGCACCAGGCCAATTGGGAAGTAAATTGACAAAACATTAATTAAGTTAGGTTTGCAAATATGTTGTGTTACTTTTTAATAAGTTTAATTTTATATGTAATGATTCAAACTAAAAGTATATGTACACAGCTCTAGTCATCTAAGGTCTATTTAAACTCTCGGTGATCCCTCATTGGCTGTAAACTCCACTTGAAGCAAGGTAAGTGCTGCTGAATTGAATAAGTCACACACAAACACACACCCATTGTTTGCTTTAGCCGGGCTATCCCAAACACTAGGATCTCTACTCACAATGCCCTCTTCATTAACGGGACAATGGCATTGTGTTGGCAAATGAGCGGGCTCCTCCCTGACCCTCTGTCTGCTGGAGATTATCTGAGCGCCTCTGCAGATAGACAGGAATCACTGAGGTCATCCGTCAATCAAAGGCTCAAATGTGTCTTCTTTCATCCACATGGAAACACTCGCTGGTCACTCACTGTATTTACGGTGTCACTGCAAGAAAAATAAAGAACTCTGAGCTACTATAAAGGGTTGTACAAAGTAGGTCCTAAATAGAAAATGTGGCAGAAAACTCGGCTTACATTTGTCTCAGGCAGAATTAGGCTGTATAGGATATGAAATAAGATACTTAGTCCTCAACTTCTACAAATGTATATTATTACTTAAAATAAACATTCATGCAGTTATTTATTAGCATTGGAATGTCTATATATGTATTTATGTAGCCTGTTTATCCACAAACCAGGACACACATACAGATGCTTCTTTATTAGCCTATAGCAGGAAGCTGCTGTACCGCATGTTTACAGGTGAGGTGGGCCTCTGGGTCTGGGATCAACCAATCACAGCTCACATTCAGTCACCTCAGCCAATCAGCGCTCGCCTACCTCCGCTATTATTTTACACTAAAAGAATTTCTACTCAATATCGCCGAAAAGCTACTTAGCATGAACAAAACAATGCCCTGCAACGAGATATGTGTGTTGTGAACTAGACAAGGTGATCTGGGCAGGTAGAGGACAGACACGCGGAGTTTATTGGCTGCTCGGGACAAAAGGCCCAGAAAGAGGCTTTACCTGTAAGGTGGAGTGGAGGAGAGGCACTCGCGCACCGAGGGGCAGGCAGAAAACAGGCGAGAAAAGTCGCCTTACCTGTAGCCCAACTTCTCTCTGCTGCCGCTCGGAGCTGCTCCGACTTGAAAGTCCAGTTTCACAAGGAAGAACCGCGGAGGAAGCGAAATATGTCACAGGAGACAGACAAGTAAGTGCTGCTGCCAGAGCTCCTCTGACTATTTCAGCGCGTAAAAAAACTTTTGACCTGTCCTTAGTTTAGGATGATCGTAAAGCCGCGGTGAAATCCAGGAACAGGTTATATCCGCAGTGGATGCATCTTCATTTTTTATTTTATTATTATTCGTTTTTTGTACCCCAGTCAACTTGTTTCATACTGGAGTTGTGTCCCATTGAGAGTTGTTTGCTTTTACGAGTGTGCCGTGGAGTTTATATGAAATCTATCGCGATTTCTGATGGAGCAAGTGCCAAGGACTGGATTATCCTTTGAGTTTGTTTTTATGTTCACAGTCTTATTAAAAAAAAACTGATTTACCTACGATCAAGCCCAATGACCTTTTTAAAGTCATTCTATAATGTGTGCTTCATTAAAATTAGTTTTACGGATATGTAGCTTATTTGAAATCTTTATTATTATATGTAAACCAGTTTTTTATGTTACATTTAACTGGCCCAACTATGTACACTACTTTTTAAATGTTGGATTAAATGATAATTACAACCTCTTTTTAGTTGGTTTCATATCTCATTGAAAATGTTGAGGAGTTATCTTGATAGGCCTGTTTATAAGTTTGATTACAGTAACATTTCAAAACAGGCCCAACATTTTACAACAATTTTCTATCAATTATGCATCAAGATCTCAACATAGGGCCATATTCCAGACAATAATCTGCCAAACACATTGTTTGTTGATGCATTAGCCAAATTATGAAAAGACTGTGCTTTTGTAAGATGTTGTGGATGTAAGTCTATGTAGGCTTTTAAAAATGACATGTAGTGTTGTATGCGTCAGTGGCTTAAGTAAAACAATACTTGCTATATAAGTGCAATGTTATTAATGTGAAGATTCTCTCGTGCACTGTGTCACTGAATCACGTCAAAGAGCATCATAGTAGAAACAGCAGGTGTCTGCCTCTATTATGGCTCAGAGTGAACACTGTTTTAGGCTTTTGCAGCATAAACACAGTGTTCTGTTCCTATGTCAAAGGCATGGCCTGTTTTCACCTAACACAACCAGATCAGCAACTATGATGTTTATATTTTACCTTCATCCTTTAGAACATTGTTTCTCAAAGACTGGGTCACGGCCATCAAGTGGGTTGCAAGAGATTTTTTTTTTTGGGTTGCCTTGTCTGCATATAGATCTGCAGTATACAGTTCCGACACATGAGAGAGCAAGTGGCTATTTTGTTCCAGTATTGCTGGTTCAATTGAATGTTGAAAAGAAAAAAGAAATGGGCTAAAATAGGTGACTTATGGATCCTGTTTTTGCTGGTTCAATTACTGTTTTTCATTGTTTAAAACTTGAGTAATACTAATTGTTCAGAGACACACGATCACCCAGTCAACATTAAAATATTCTCATTAATGTTCAATAATGATCAAATCCAACTTTATTTTGTGATTTACGAATAACGTCTATTGACTTGGGTCGTGAAGGTTTGTGACTTTTAAAATATGGGTCCCCAGAATAAAAGTTTGGGAATAAACTTGTTATTTTACTTTGTCATGGTCATTGCTGTAGTTCCTATTTCTATTGTGGTGATGCCAAGTTGATTTACATAGAGATACCTCAATCTAAAGTAAATATGGTGTATTTGTAAAGCCAGTCTTTAAGTGTGTTCAGTGATAGGAGTGAGATTACAGCAACTGTCAGTGTAACTTTTGACAGGTTTTCTTGTGTGAGTGGCTGATTGCAAAGTGCTGTTTTGACAACACTGTGGCTCTGATAAGTCTGTGATCTTCACTTAAGTGTGTACAGGAACAAAATCTACTGCAAACACAGATGTGAGGTGCAGTTACAGGGAGAACTAAGCTAGATTAGTGACTCCAAATTTCCACACAAAGTACTACCACAGAAATGTTTGGTTTTCAAGATTCACTCTAGACTACTAAACTAAAGACTAGACTAAGATTTACACAGTACTAGAGGCCAAAACTGGACCATCTAAACCAGGAGGATTAAACCAGGTTCAAACCAAGACTCAACCAAGACTAATCAAGGACTTAGGCTCAGGACAAAAGTGAATTCAAAATATGAATAAACGTGGTAAAAACATATTTTTCTCACCATTTAAACCTCAAATGCAGGACAATACAGGATTACAAACAGTCATGAATCAATATACCAGTGAGTACGGATGTAACAATATCAAAATCCCTCGATACGATATTTTCACGATACGTGTCTCACGGTTTGATATTTATTGCGATATTTTGTAGAGGTTTACAAAATTGTGAATATGCTACTTTTTCCTTTTGAAAGCCCTGGAAAAGCCTTGAAAAGCTGTTGGTATTGCAGTAATATGAAGAATTAACGTTTAAAAGTGCTTAATAACAGTTGCTTCTTCAGGTAGTCTGCACTGATAACACCAAAGGACCATGGTCTATGTACTTCCCTCTGTTTTTTAGCTACTGCTGCACCATGGAAAGGTAAACAAAGTAACTCAAAGTGCTTTACAGAATAAGAAAGATGTTAAAATCACAAAGAAAGGCAATAGAATCACCATAACTATTCATTTAAGTAAAGACACGTGTAATTCGATATATTGTGAAGCCCCCCGGTATTATTGTGAGACTTCTGACGATACAATATCACGATATTTCGGTTACTGTTACATCCCTACCAGTGAGTAAACTAATGATGGGGGAAGGCAATGGTTAAAAAATCTTTATGTGGGGGGTGGAGTGTCTTGCCTAAGGACACATCAACAGAACTGGAATCAATCCTCTGACCTTCAGGTTGGGGGACCACTGCTCTAAGCCGAAATCTGTCTTGATATGATTTTGTTTTGTGTGTTTTATCAGTAAGCGCCTGGTGGTGGTGGTGCCCAACGAGAGCTCGTTTCAAGCCATGCGTTACACCAGCGAAGACGAGGCATGGCGTTCCTACCTGGAGAACCCGCTGACCGCTGCTACCAAAGCCATGATGACCATCACCGGGGACGAGGACAGCGCCAATGCACTCACTCTGCTCTATGACTACTACAAGGTCTGTCCTGAACTGCGGTGGTGATCTTCAAGATAGTTACTTACACATTAAACCTAGAAAATATCAAGAAGATCCTGGATTTGATTCTTGGGTCTGGTGGGGGTGAAGATATTTCATGGGGACAGTAAAGAATATCTTAAACATTACTGTTATTCAGATAAGCCTACACAAAATGTTGGTGCTTAAGCTTTTTAATTATATACTGGGTCATGGTGATTGTAGTCTAGTGAAGTTCAGCTGAAACGGAAACTGTAAGAAAAACAAATAATAAATAAAAAAGTCCAAGTAGTATGTAGTTTTCCCATGGCATAGAAATATTTAAGTAAATTTCATCCATTTCTGTGTCTTTAGGTGCCCAAAGAGAAGAGGATTCTGCCAGTTGCCAAAGTGGTGGAAGTCTCCGAGGAGCAGGAGAAGAGGTCAGTGTGTTTGTGATGCTTGTTGAGCGTACAGACAGAGGCAGTTGTAAAAATGTAAAACATGTATTTAGTGTGAGCTCATTCTGCAGCTATGGATGGACTCATGCTTCAATGATTACTAATATACAGTGTTTGACAATTGACACAAGTGAGTTAATAACCCAAGTTTGGTATGAAAACACTCTATTGGTTCCAAGAACCATTCAGTGATAAAGAACGACTGATGAAGTGATAAGAGGCTGCCATTTGTGGGCAAACGCTGTGCATGAAAGAGTGCCTAGGATGATGTTCAAAAACAACAACATGAAATATTGCAGCTACACACAGATTCTTTTTATACGGTTATAAAAATAAGCCCCGTAGTGTAGATGTAATATTAACCCAAAGGCTCAATAAAGAGTTATATACATTTAAGAAACTGCACTTAATATGCAAATAGTAGGACATAGAGAGATTTTATTAGCTCTTTCTATCTGAGATAAGAAAAAAGAAGCTAGATAAATGTAACCAGTGCTATAGAAAGTACATTATAATTTGAATTCAAAGCAACATTATGCAACTTTATTTGAATAATTTATACCAAAATAGAAGATTGCATCAGGAAGGTTACCTAGTGGAAAACTATGAAAAGTATGTGCTTCGCTCTTGTAACATGGGAATGAAAATGTCAAAATAAAAGTTTAGATCAATTGTTTCACATTTTAAAGCTGCACTATGTAACTTTTTGGTTGGTTGTTTCTATGGATATATCATTGCTCTACCTGGAATGTTCCGCAGTATGACATTAAACAGCTCTACCTGTCATGTTTTCAATTACATGTGGTTTTATTGTATATCCCAAAAATACCAAGAAAAACAGGCATTCTGACTGTGAATGTGGTTGCCTCTCCATAGACTTGTAACTTGGTCTGGTTTGGTCTCCATGAAGATAGAAAGGTTTAAAGCCATACTGTAAAACATTTCAGACAAAGCAACATCTACATAGAGAAAAGCATTTTACACACCCTCCACCACAAAAGTTACACAGCTCACATTTAATATAAATAAATATTCATACTTAATAAACTCTTTTGGTCAATAATGCTGGTCTGTAACCTATAAACAGTCGATTGAGGATAAATGGAATCATTCTTATACTGAAGTACAATGTAATTTTTCAGGCTACCATCAAACTCCAGTGAAAACAACTGTGGCGAAACTGTTGACAATCGAGTCCAAGTGCTGAAATCAGTCCCGGTGAATCTGTCTCTCAATATGGAGCACCAAGAAACTGCCACCAAACGGGACCAGTTCAGCAGCTCATCTTCATCGGGCCAGGCAGGTGCCCAGGGGGCTACAGGACCCACAGACCCAGCCCCTGCACCCGTCCCAGTGGTGAAAGCAGAGGTCTTCACACCTCTGTACATGGCACCCACGGGGCACCACTACCGGGTCGAGGGGGAGGAGGCAGCCAGGGTCATCTATGAACCAAACCCCTATGAAGTCACCGCAGTCAGTCACAGCTCCTACGTGAAAGACAACCAGCAGAGTCCACCGGATAGTCCGTACGAGGAGGAGCGGAACGGGGTAAAAGAAATACAAATATAAACAGACAATATTTGGGTTTCAGATGGCATCACAGCGTTATAAAGAACAATATTATTTAATACAGATGGGGGCAGCTAAAATCAGTATTGTTCAACTGTAGATTTTTGTTGTAATATAGCACGGTCTTGGCTTTTGTCAATAATAGAAATGATCAGGTGCAATATTTGGGAATTTACCTTTCCGATATTTCATGGCAAAGTACAGTGTAAGTAGGAAAAACAGGCTTTTGCCCCCATCTGGGATTTGTATGGAAGAGAGAGGTGGGACCAAGTCATCATTTTGCAAGTCTCAAGTCTTTGACCTCAAGCGCGAGTCAAGTCCCAAGTCAAATACAGGCAAGTCCAAGTCGAGTCTCGAATCACTGGACTGTAAGTCCAAGTCAAGTCCAAGTCGTCTGCTTGGAGCTTCAAGTCATTTCAAGTCTTTAAACCAAAGTATCAAATATTATATAGCTTAGATTTTTGCAGTTTATATGAATTTTAAACTGTACTTAAAAAAGTCATAGTATATTTACTGTATTTATAGAGTCTGTAAGAGTTGTAGAAATGTAAATTTTTCCTTTTTAAATGTCTTGACAAGCTCTTAGTGTGAATCATTATGGTCAGATCAGAATGAATTCAGATTTAAAAGTGCTTCTCGAGTCTTCTCAAGTCACAGGCCTCAAGTCTGTCTATTTTATCAAGTCAAGTCTCAAGTCCTAAAAATAGTGACTCAAGTCTGACTTGAGTCCAAGTCACGACTTGCAAATCCCGACCTTTTATGGAAGATAATTAAATAATTGAAATACAGAATTTTAAACACTTTAAAATTACAGCAAATAAAATTCAGAATAAACATTTTTTCAGAGTTAAAAAATTCAAAGTGAGAAATTCAGCTGTATTTAAAATTCTAAATCTGATGGAACAAATGATCTTCCATAGATTTGGCCATCATCACATTCTTTAATCTGAAAACTATTTCAAGTTATATAAAGTGTTCATCTGTCCAAATGTCTTACAGTGTTTGCAGGAGTAGTAGTAGTAGAAGTGATGGTAATAAAACCTTGTAATGTGAACTGAAAACATAAAGCAGGAGTCTCCAACTGTTTTATTGCTACTAATTATTGCAGTCATTAGAAGCAGAGTAAGTATAAAAGGCACAGCAAGCCATAGATGGAGTACAATCTGTAAAACAAATTATTATCAGTTTATTAGTGCACAAAGTCGGGCATCAAAATTATTCATTTCCAGTGGTAATAGGCATTTAATTCATCAAATGTGAGTCATTCAGTGCAATACAAATAATAAGGAATACAGAAGGGAGTGGGGAGTTACTGGAAACTCCCACTGACGTAAAGCAACCAAATATTTTTATCAATTACAACGTGACCTAAGAATAAATAGTAGAACCACTAAAACACAGTATTGACAATCTACAGCCATTTTGCGTTGGAATAAGGCTCATTTTTGACATTATTACTTCTCAGTCAGCTTTTCTTCTTGGAGATGTTGTTGCTTTGTGTGAAATTAAACCTTTCTATCTTCATGGACACCAAACCAAACCAAGTTACAGGTCGGATCTGTGGAGAGGCGTCCCCGCTCACAGTCAGAAAGACAGTTTTTCTTGGTATTTTTGAGCTATAAAAGCACCTGTAATTGAATAAATGTAAGATTGAACTGTTTAATGTCATACTGTGGGACATTCCAGGCAGAGCAGGGGAATATCCATAGAAACCACCAGGTGACTAACCTTAGTTACATAGTGCAACTTTAAGATTAGGGTTGGGATTATGGTTTGGGCTTTACCGAAGTTAGTCCAACATTCTTATTGTTTGACACACACAATCGTAACTAGTATATTACTTTTCGGAAATATTTTTTTAACAAGTGAATGATGCATGAGTGAAGTGAGCTCACCGTAGCACTCAGAGCCCGGCCCATTGGTAACTGTACACTTTAGGGTGGGGCTGTTTTTATATAGGACATAAAGACGGATAGATGTTCAAATATTATTCAGCCCCAGTCCAAAGGTGGCTTACATGAATGAGAGTAGAGCTATTACGAGTCCTTTAAGATTGACATTATGACTTTGAACTTATTTATTCAGGCTTTAATATTAAACCGTCAGAAAGGTGTTGTTTTGTGGTATTGTTTACCCAGTTCCTCTGAAGTTAAATGAATCTTAATAGTTTCCTCTTTTGGTGTGTTTTTTGTGCTATTTTGACAGAAGTACCACCTACCTTCCTCTATGGCCACAGATGACTTCTTATTTCACCAGGAAGGAGTGTAAGTTCAGTTAGACCATCTAGTTTGGAGTCATTCATACACTGCATTTAAGTTGTTTTATCAGAAGTAGATCCATATTTAGCCACAATAACAACAATTGGAAAACAAAAATATATAATCAAACTTTCAATCACGACAGCAAGGTAATAAAAGCATCAAAGTGTTTTTAGTTTAGTCTTAAAGGTCCTATATTATGCAAAATTGACTCTTGTGTCAATGTTTGAATGTTGTTACCTCCTCGAAAACATACCTGGAGTTGTGTTTTGTTCATTCACACATGTTTGAGTGAGCATTTATTATTAGTTGGTCTACATCTCCAAAGCTCAAGATGCGCTGTCCCACCTTGTGATGTCATGTTGTGGTAGTTTTCAAGTTAACAGCTACGGTTTATCTCTCTAATTTAGAAGAGATTGGCATTTCCAGGGCTGAAATCATCCAAATGATTCTGCTGAAGGTGTATGGAGTCAAAAACACAGTGGAGCATTTTCTATATTAGCGCTTGACATCACAAGGTGGAACAGAGTGTTTCTGTTTAAGAGAAGAACTCAGGGGTTTGTGTGTTAAACATGTGTGAATGAAACAAAACACAACTCCAGGTTTGTGATGAGAAAACAACATTATAACACTGATCAGAAAATAGTGTAATATGGGCCCTTTAACCTTTGGACAATGCACAAATCCATTATAGTAGTTTACAATGGTAGCATGCTTACTCTAATGTAACTGTTATATTTGTACAGAGACAGTTTCCAGTACACATTGGACGCCTCTCGGTCCCTCCGGCAGAAACAGGGCGAGGGACCCATGACGTATTTAAACAAGGGACAGTTTTATGCCGTGACCCTGAATGAGCTCAGTGCCAACAAACGACTGCGCCACCCCATCAGCAAAGTTCGAGTGAGTTGGATTTATTATATTTTATACACTGGATTCTCGTTATGGCATGTACTTTATTTATTTATTTGTTTATTTTACAAAACATATGCAAAAGTTTAGAATAGTTCATATAATTCTATTGCCAGGCTGGTGCCACCTCATGCCTCCCCTCAAGTTCATTTCTCCCCAGCGACTAGGTCAAGAATCAAAATACACTAGACGGTTTGCAAAAACCCCAGAAGTGCAAGGTCAGGCACCAGCCAAACAGCGAAGAGCCATATATTCTCTGTTGGCAACAATTCCCAAGATCGAGGATTTAAATCTGCAATAAAGAGAATATTTGGTGAATTTTATCAAGGGGAAAGATGTTATTGCCCTTCTTCATATGAGATTTGGGAAAAGCTTAATATACCAGTTAGCCCCATTAGCGGCACATTATATACGTCACAACCAAATCGCAGTGATTTACCATTGAACGAACAAGTTCTAAGGTTGCGAAGTCAAACGGTTTCAAGGAAGTGCAACCGGCTGATGAATCAGGCTAATAATTCTATGGATATCTTATAAAAATGGAACTCCCCAGAAGCTCTCTTTGCTTATAAAAGGGACCCCAGATACCTACTGTATAGTAAAACCATATACAGGACTTATATGAATGGTATAAGACATTCTGAATAAATAGCACAAATAAATGTACAAATAAAATAATAGAAATAAGTCTCAGAGAAAGAGTGCAATGATATGATGAGTGACAGGACATAGGGTTATCTGTTACATAAGGGTGAGTTGTTGTACAGTTGTAGGGAGTATTATCTGTCCCTCTGTAGTCTGGTGCAGTGGGTGTCCATGATGCAGAGCAGTTTGTCCAGTGTCCTCTTGTCCCTCACTGTGACAAATGTCTCCAGCTCATACATAATACATACCATTATAGGATTTCATATGGTTAAGGAAGCCAAGGTTGAATTTTATACTTTGCTGCGATTGCCATTCACTGTATATAGAACAGCACATTGTCCACATATATATAATAAAATGATAAGAAATTATAATGTTTTTCTGATTTTGCCCATAGAGTGTAATCATGGTGGTTTTCAGTGAAGATAAAAACCGAGATGAACAGCTAAAATACTGGAAATACTGGCACTCGAGGCAGCACACGGCCAAACAAAGGGTCCTTGACATTGGTAAGATACTCACTCACCAGTCCTCATGTTTACAAGTGAATGACAATATCAGATTTTTAATATAAGGATGAACCAAAAAAAAGTAATAATGATATACTGGTGCTCAGCGATGGAGGATAACTAATTACATTTTAAAACGGATACTTTTACTTCACTACATCTGAGAGCAAGTATCTGTACTTTCTACTCCACTAAATATTTGAACAGAACTGAAAAGTAAAAAGGGCTTTTAATATGATTTTAACGGTTATTTTTACAATGTTTTTGGTAACATCCTGACTAAAGGTTTTGAGTTCAAACTTCAGCTTTCAGCAAACAAAAATAAATACACAAAATTCATAAGAAAAATTAAGAAATTGATTCATATTGCAACTACTGACCAAAATATGCATTTTTTAAATTAATATCATTACATTTTAACAAATAAACAACACTCATGTGAAATAACTTTAATACTTTTATTTAAGTAGATTTTTTTCATGATATACTTTTACTTTTACTTGAATAACTTTTTGTCTTCTGTACTTTTTGAAGGTTCTGTATATCATGCAAAACTGACTCTTTAAGGTTTAAGCCATGTTACCTCATCAACATACCTGGAGTTGTGTTTTGTTTCATTCACACATGTTTTAATAATCCTGAATTATTAACATGTCTACATTTCCAAAGCTCAAAATGCTCTTTTCCACTTTGTGATGTTATGAGGCAGTAATTTTCAAGTTAACAGCTCCTTTTACCTGTTGTTTAGTAGAGATTGTCAATTCCAGGGCTGAAATGATCCAACTGATTCTAGTGAAGGTGTATGAAGTTTAAAAACACAGTGGATATACTTCAGGATTTGTGTGTTAAGCCTGTGTGACTGAAACAAAACACAACTCCAGATCTGTTTGTGATGAGGAAACAACATTATAACATAGATCAGAACATAGTGTAATATGAGCCCTTTAACATATGTGTGAATCAAAACAAAGAATGATGTATTGGTGCTATTACCAATACTGGAATGCCCTTAGCCAATAAGCAGAGGCTGAGCAAACAAAGAGGTTACACACCCCCACTCAGTGTTTGCCTGAGGGCTGCCCACCTTCTCACAACTACTACATGAATCAGTAATCTAGGCGTTGCTAGGTCTCAACTTGAATCCTATAATCTCCCTACATAGCCCTAAAGACTCGAAATTACCCCAAAACCACTGTGTTTTTGTTCAATTTGTCAAATCATTCTGCTCATGTTCATTGGATTTAGGTGTAACTGGGAATTTTTTATCATGTTTTGATTTTTTTGAACTAGAAGTCATTAAGGTGCCTGTTTAGACCTGATATAGTCCTACCTTTAGTCTGGTTTAGTCTTCTTAAGTTATTATGCATTTAGTCTTGACTTGTACCTGGTGTAGGATTGTTTAAGACAAATTATAGTCCTGCTTTTACTCATTTTATTTGTTTGTGTAGGCCTAGTTCTGGCTTAATTGTGCATTAGTACTAGTTCAAGTCTAGATTGATTTACCTAAGATCTACAGACCTCATTAAATCATAAAGTACTAATTTTACCATATAATTTTTGCCAGCCAAGTCCTGGTTCAATCTTATTTAAGCCAGAATTTAACCCAGGTTTTGTCCTTGTTAATCCTAGTTTTGTCATTAAAAGCTACTTATAAAAGCAAATATTTTCAGAGGAGGTATTTGAGGCTCTAGTCAGCCCTTTGTCTGAAAATGATGGATCTGAATTTGCACATCTTTGCTGAATGAGTATGTGAGAAGCTTGTAGGCGGATTTCGCTAACAAGCCGGGGCCTGCTTCCTCAAGTACACACTGAGAGGTATGTGGGAGACTGTGAGCTAGATACTAGACATTCACAGAAACACTCCTCCTTCATTCGCTTGTCAGGACAGGGAGAGGAATGCTCGCCACACTGTTACCTTGGATGGTCCAGGTCTGTTGAACAACATTGTTGCCCAATTTAGATCCCCTTCTTAATTCCTATGTTGACATGTCCCAAACCAAAAGCTCTGAAATCCGCCATAACACATAAACAGCTGCAGAAGTGGAACCAGCACAATGCACATGGAAGATGTACAGATGGAAAAGTTGAAGCAAAGTAATCATTCATTCAATAACAACATTTCAGTAGAGTGATTACAAAGGGCAATGGACTGTACAGTATTTTTATGTGCATAGTCATACACGAGTGGCATCTCAGTATGTGCTCATATGCATCCATGAGTTTCAAAGGATGAAAAATGCAAACAAAATATTCTTTTCAAACATACAGTAAAGCCCTTAACATGACTAACGCCCATGAATACATATATAACACTTTAGATTGAATAAAATTACTTAGGTTTATAACTTTTGTATGGGGAGGAGGTTTTGCATTCAACTTACATACAGTATAACTCACTTATTTTAAGGGATTGTAAAACTAACTGAATTTTTAAAGGCGCACTGTGTAACATTTCTGCTTGTCTCCATGTAGATATTACTGTTTTGCCTTTCCGCAGTATGGAAATACACTTAATAATAAATAATAAACTTAGTAATCATAAAGGAGACAGGTAATTTTGAGCTTTAAAACTCCTGTAATTGAACAAACACAAGGGAGATCCTGTATGTTCGGTGACCTACTATGGTGTCTGCGCTCAGTTTCATTTCTCCAGCGACCAGGTCAGGAATCAGAATACACTAGACGGTTTGCAAGAACCCTGGAAGTTGTAGACCGGGCACCAGTCAATCAGCGAAGAGCCATACATTCTGTGTTGGCAACGATTCCCAAGATCGAGGATTTAAAGCCTGAAAAAAGAAAATGGTTGGTGAATTTCATCAAGGGGAAAGACGTTATTGCCCTTCTTCCTACGGGATTTGGGAAAAGCTTAGTATACCAGTTAGCAGTGCATTACATACGTCACGACTAAATAGCAGCGATTGGTTAAATTAAAAAAAAGTACTTGTCTAGTATCGAGTGAAGAATCTTAATGCTGCAAGGTCAAACGGTTTCCACAAAGTGAATGATGAATCAGGCTACTACTATGGAACATTCCAGGCAAAAAAATTACTTCTTCACGGAAACAAGCAGGTAGCGGACCCTCCACCATAAAAGTTACGCAGTGCACCTTTAATTAAACGTTGAGCTGTGGTTTCAGACAGCTGTTGAGGTCAGATGTCAAGCCTGGGCCCTCTGTGTGTCTCTGTACTGTGGGTCGGGGGTGTGTGTGGATGCGTTGTGTAACCTGAGCAGGGGCTGATGTGAAAGGCAGAGGAGGTGGGTGTGTCTGTGGGGGGGTGTAGTGTGCCCCCAGGCCCCATCACAGAATGGGACAGAAAGAGAATGGGATTTAACCGAAGGGGGGAGCAAACAGAAGAATGGCACCTTGCTTTGTGCACCTGCTGTGGGATGAGACGACAGTTGTGCAATGAGGCCCGCACCTAGAACAAGGCAATCAACAAAAAGCTAAAGATACAGGACTGCAGGACGACATTCATACCATACTCCATACAACTGTACAGCAACTCACCCTTATGTAACATCAATATCATCTTTACACTGTTTCTCCTTATGACCTCTTGTATCACATGAAAAAATCTACTTAAGTAAAAGTATTAAAGTACCTGTTTAAAAACATACTTACAGAGTAAAAATTAAAGAGTATTTTCTAGAGATTTTTAGACCAATTAAAGGATAAAATTTTGTGCTTTTGATAAAAAATTTGGTTGATTTAAAGCGATTTAGTGTTGTCTAGCTGTTCTTCTGGTTTCGTATTTTGTTTTGCTCAAAAATGGGACAGAAATTCAAATTAAATGTGCTAAAAAAAAAGGCTCAAACCATAAAGAAAAGTACTTTTAAATCTAAATGTAGTGGAGTAGAAAGTATAGATACCTGCTCTCAAATGTAGTGAAATAAAAGTAAAAAGTATCCACTGTAAAATGTATTTAAGTAAAGTACAGAAATTTGTACTTTATTATTGTACTTTTACTTTTATATTTTGTTACTGTACACCACTGTGCCGAGTCCTGTTATAGAGTGTTCAGTCATTTACTTTTATGCCGTGTGTGAAGTAAACTGAAAAATCATTGGCAGATAAAACCCATTTAAGAACTAAAAGCAGTTTTGACCCAGTCCACAACATGTTACAGCCCCTTTAGGCACTTTAAGTTTTATGTCCCGTGTATTTGGCCCCTCCGGACTTGTCCAAGACCACTCATCTGACTCCTCTTTTCCCAAATAGCCCTGCGTGCTTCCTCCCTCTGTCTTTGAAGCCTGGAAGCCTATTTACTCAAGCTGATAAGACTTATAAAATAGAAGTGTGCCATTGGATTGCTTATCTGTACTAACAATAGCTACCAGCTTGTGTCATTTATTGACCAGAGTGTATAGCGCATATATATTGAGTTTTTGGTTTGTTTTGGTGTGTTTTTGTGTTGTAGTTATTTTGGCTGACAATGTTGGTCTTTTTTTAGCTGATTACAAAGAGAGCTTCAATACGATCGGGAACATAGAAGAAATAGCTTACAACGCCATCTCCTTTACCTGGGACGTCAATGAAGAGGCTAAGGTAAGGGCTGAAATGTACCCCACAGTAGATGGCTGCGCTGGACAGAATTTTCAGTCCAGGTTCCACCTGTACATGCAAAGAATTGTAATTTTCATTCCTGCTCCCGCCCAGATCTGCATTATTTTGTCCTGCTCCCACCTGCAAATCCCGCAAGATGGGGTCGTTCGCTTTCTTAAGCTCTGTCAAACACAGAGGAGCGGAAAGGAATTGTCTGAAATGTGGGCGAGATTAGACCACGTCCGCAAGTTTAGGCTGCTTAAAATGTTTTTATTAATGCCAAATAAAATATCCAGCACACATTATGTATGATAGGCAAACATGGATCATTTGTATATTTTACTTTACACTTATATTTGTTTGTGGGACTGCAGTTTATCATCTCACCCGCCCACTCCCACACAGGCCTGCAATGAGCTTTCAAAATGTGTCCTGTGCTGCCCCAAAGGCCTGCAGGACCCAGGGTAGATGCAGCGCGCTATGCCACTGGTTGACCTTGAGTTTCTACTGTACTTATTATGTGCTCAGCATTTATTCACCAAACCAAAATCACATTTTAAAAATAAATGTACCCTGATATCTTTAAGGCAGGGTAGTGTACAGGGAAGGACAAAGGGGTCTGTTGTCCCAGCCCTCAGGGGCTTAGGGGCCCAGATTTGAACCCTCTTCCTATTAATTCATATTAGAGGGGGCCCATGTGAAGCTTCTTGCCACTGGCCCCCAAATTTCTGTCGACGGGCCTGCAAAATAGTGTAGTAGCTTAGGATGCCCAAACGTGGACTCAAGGTCTTACGGATTCTTCTTTCTTATAATGGAATGCTGATTTATTGTTATTGTATTCAGTATTATCAGTGTATTATGACAAAATACACTCAAAATTCCTTGAAACAATCCAGGATTTAAACTGAATGGACCCACATCAAAATGAATCATTTCCACCTTGGTCAAACATGCCCTTTATAATAATAGCAAATAGTTCTGAAGGACTCTTGTTTAACATCATTTATCATTTTACCCCTCACTGTAACCTTTGTAAAATGCTTTAAAAGTGAAAAAATGCAGAGCACACTTAGATAAATAACGTTTTGGCATTTGCATTTTTTCACTTTTAAGTTGCTGTTTCTTGTGTTTACACCTCTTCAGGAACTCTGGTGTTGCGTTTTCAGTTTCATTTGATTCAGTGTAGTGCATGTCCCAGTTTTCAGGTCTATATTAGCCTAAGTCTCCTGACAGCTTCATTTCTGTAGTGGCTGTACTTTTCCCTAAACCGGTCTGCTGTGTTTGCGCTTACATAAAGGCGTGTAGTCCATGTTCAAAAGCAGCACGACAGGTTTTCTCGCTGATTCAGTTGTTGCCAAATAAACGCCTGTGAAACGAACTGGTTTTGGGAGATCATGATGCAAGCACCTGTTACTCAGTGTGCAGAGCCAAGGCGTGAGAAAAAGGCTTGAGGAGCTTTGAACTGAAGCTGACAAATTATGACACAATTCTATTATAACGGCGCTTCTGAATGACATCAAATTACTCATGTTGAAGAAGATACCAGAATGAAACAGTATTATTCAGACTAAAGTAAAAAGATAGATAGAAAGATAGATAAATCATACTTTATTATTCGAAAAGGAAGCTCATTTTTCAGGCAGCAACACTACATTATAATACATTTTATTTACATGAATTTATTAAGTTATAGTGAAGCATTGGATAGCTAAATACCAAACTGGGGAAATGATTAGAGCATTGTGGGGACTGCTAGGACAAAAACAGCTACTTTTAGACAATCAGTGTAAATTATATGCAAATACAAACAAGGAGTATTAAAATTAAACATTAAAAATGCTAAAATATAGAGCATTAAACTTGCTATCTCCATGGAGACAAGACAAAGCGGCGAGACAAGGTGAAGTTGTGATAAACTGCTTTGAAGTATCATATATCCATAAAGTTACCGAAGTGAATGTACCTGATTACCACATGTGATTTTAAACATCATGAAGTCAATGGTCTTGTGTGCTTTTCAAACTGACTCTTTTGTGACCGCTCCTGTGGCTGAACTCCCCCCGAGGGCCGACCTGAGCCCATCCCAGTCCACCACACCCTTCTGCTCCTGTTTGTTTTGCCCTCATTTCAGTGTGAATGTGAGTGACTGTGTGCGTTTGTGTATTTATGTGCATTTGTGTGTGCGTTTGTGTGTCTGTTTGTTGTTTACGACTAATTTGACATCAATCTCTTGCAATTATGCCTTATTTGACATCAGTCTGTCGTTATCTCTGCTACTTACTCAGAATTTATTATACCATTTCTCTTAGCTACTGTGTCCAAATAATTTCCCTTGTGGATCAATAAAGCTTGTGTAAGTCTAAGTGTGTTTGTGTGTGTGTTTGTGTGTGTTTGTGTGGCGGATGCATTGTATCAGTGGCCTCGAGACTCTGCTGGAGGAAATCCAAGCACACTTTTCACAGTCAATACAGACTCTTTATAGCCCTGCATTCTTCCTTTATTTGTCCTATGTCTGTGGTGGTATTTATCAAGTTTTAATGCAAGAGTTTGGTTTTAAAACATCTTCTATTGTTCTCCATCGAGACGTTATGTTGTCTGGATGTGGCTTGAGTTTAGAATGAAAGGGGCATCTGTCTTAAATAACAACATCAGAAGCAAATGGTCAAATTAGATACTAGATACTACGACTGTGTTCTTCTTGTATTCTTGTATTGATTTTGGCATTACCTACTTAATTCATATTGTTTATTCAAATGGAAATCTGCAACTTTTCTGGTGGAGGTTATGGCCGTTTGTCTCCGTGGATATGTTATTGTTTATCAATCTCCATGGAGACAAGCAAGTGTCAAGCAAGTGCACTTTTGAGAAATAAAACTCTATAACATAATATATACTCCTAATACAACACCACTAATGAAATGAAAGCTACACAGATACATCAAATGCTTAATTGTGGAACACTACAGGGCACTTACATCTTGGATCTATTCGGATTTATTCGTTGTACATGATTATGTTTGGTCGATATTTATTCCTTGGAATTTATTGGATATATTATAACTAATTATTATGATTAAGATGCTCACTCATACAAGAATATTTTTTTTCTCTGTAAAGACTAATGGATATCCAATAAATAAATAAATAAATAAATCTCCATGGAAACAAGCACTAGAAATGTTAAGCAGCCTGCCTTTAAGTTTTTGAATTCGCCATTGCAGATTTTACGTTTTGTATGAACTTTTATAGTTATTGTAATGTAAGGTAAATTAGATGCTCATTTTGACCCCTGGAAGAATAGTTTTTATCTCTGTAAAGACTAAAGGGGATCCAGTAAATAAATAAATCTCCATGGAAACAAACACAAGAAAAAATTAAGCAGCCCACCTCTAAAAGTTTTTGAATTTGTCATTTCAGATTTTGCGTTACGTGTGAACTTTTATAATCATTATTGTTATGTAATGTTTTATTGTAAATTAGGTGCTCACTTTGACCTCAGGGAAAATAGTTTTTACCTCTGTAAAGACTAATGGGGAGTCATTGAATAAATAAATAAATCTCCATGGAAACAAGCAGGAGAAAAGTTAAGCAGCCTGCCTTTAAGTTTTTTAATTTGTCATTTCAGATTTTGCATTATGTGTGAACTTTTATAGTTATTATATTGTAATATTTAATTTTAATTAGATGCTCATTTTGACCCCAAGAAGAATTTTTTATATTTTTAATCTCTGTAATGACTAATGGGGATCCAGTAAATAAATAACTCTCCATGGAAACAAACAGGAGAAAAGTTAAGCAGTCCGCCTTTAAGTTTTTGAATTTGTCATTGCAGATTTTGCGTTATGTGTGAACTTTATTGTTACTATATTGTAACATTTTATTGTAAATTAGATGCTCACTTTGACCCCAAGAAGAATAGTTTTGTATCTCTGTAAAGACTAAAGGGTATCCAATAAATAAATAAATAAATCTCCATGGAAACAAGCATAAGAAAAGTTAAGCAGCCCACCTCTAAAAGGAACTTTTATAATTATTATTATGTAACCTTTTATTGTAAATTAGGTGCTCACTTTGACCTCAGGGAAAATAGTTTTTATCTCTGTAATGACTAATGGGGAGTCATTGAATAAATAAATAAATCTCCATGGAAACAAGCACAAGAAAAGTTAAGTAGCCTGCCTTTAAGTTTTTGAATTTGTCATTGCAGATTTTGCGTTATGTGTGAATTTTTATATTATATTGTAACGTTTTATTGTAAATTCGATGCTCACTTTGACCCCTGGAAGAATAAATAAATAAATAAATCTCCATGGAAACAAGCATGAGAAAAGTTAAGCAGCCCCCCTTTAAGCTTTTGCATTTGTCATTTCAGATTTTCATCACTGTGAATTGCCTGAGCACTGACTTCTCATCTCAAAAAGGAGTGAAGGGTCTTCCTCTCATGATCCAGATCGATACTTACAGTTACAACAACCGCAGCAACAAACCCCTGCACCGAGCGTACCTGCAGATCAAAGTCTTCTGTGACAAGGTACAATATGTAATTAATCTAAATATGAACATCGCCACAGCCACATTACGCAACCTCTCAGCATGCAATGGTTCTGGGTTGGAACATTTTAATTACAAGTGGCACAGTTGTATGAAAGAACTGAATTATTGGTATAAGAAAAGTACATTATTTTAAGCTTTTTACTACATTTTCAATTCAAGTTTATTTATAGCACATTTAAAACAACTTCAGAAAAAAGGTAAAAAATAATTTTTGTTATATTGATCAGTCTTGATTTTGATTCATTTTGATTTATTTATTCTTTTCCAAAATGGCTTTCAGTATCGATTTAATGAACATAAACAGTATAAAGTTCAAGCCATTTAACGTAGAGGATGTCCAAAATTGATCATTTTTACTGACAGAGGATTCACTTTTGACCTCTTGATTAAAAAGACTGTTGCATAGAATTCACAATTTGTTTTCTAAATATTGCTCACAATTCAAATGTGATTCATTGCTTTACCCTGTTTTTTCCAGTAATTTTGCATTAATAAAGTATAAAATTACACCACATTTCTCCTTTATCTTGTGTATGTGGGGTGTAATGAGTGTCTGTGGCCGCTAGGTGGAGGTGCACAGAGTTAAAGGCAGGTAAGGCCTCCCTCTTGTGGCCTCACCTGCAAACAGCCGCTCACCTGGACAAGGAAATGACTGTCACAGCTCATTACGGTTTTGCATTTTGTTTTTCAGGGAGCAGAAAGAAAAATAAGAGATGAAGAGAGGAAACTGTTTCGCAAGAAGTCCAAAGGTTTGTCACTTTTTAAATTGAAGATTTGAGGTAATACTTTTAAGGTTTTCTAAGACTAAGACATAGATCCACAAGGGAAATTACTCGGACACAGTAGTTCACACATCACAATATAATAACAAAATAGAAAATATAAATGGTATCAATACATTCTAAATAAGTAGCAAAAATAGTATAAAATAGTGTTTTTTTGTAATTATTTTATTGACTATTTTGTTCCAATATTGCTAATTCAGTTGAATGTTAAAAAAAAAAAGAAAAAAAGAAATTGACTACATTTAATGTAAATGACGACTTATGGATCCTTTTTATTGCTGTTTTTCATTGTTTAAAACTTGAGTAATGCTAATTGTTCAGAGAGACACGATCACTCAGTCAGCAATAAAACATCCTTATTAATGTTCAGTAATGATCAAATCCATCTTTATTTTCTGATTTACCAATAATGTCTATTGACTTGGGTCACGAAGGTTTGTGACTTTTAAGATATGGTCCCCAGAAAAAAAGTCTGGGAAACACTGAACTAAGGTATAGTTATATAAATCTATTTGTACAAGTAAAAATAAAATAAAATATAAAAGAAATAAAGTAGTAAAAAATACTATTAGACTATGTATATTGTTTTTAAAATCATAAACCATATTCAACAGTCGATTTGTAGGAGTTATATCTTTTAAACAAAACAAAGCGTTTTATTAATATACTGTTTTTTTTAATAAATTGTTTTATTTCTCTTTATTTCAGGGAAGGATGGAGGCGTAGGTGTAATAACTGTTCCAAAAAAGTCTGACAACACTTATTTCAAAACAATGACTGATCTCGAAGCTCAGCCGGTTCTGTTCATCCCCGACGTTCACTTTGGAAACTTGCAGAGGGCTGGACAGGTACATCACTGTATAATATGGTTAGCGGTTTAATAATATTTGGTTTCTCAACATTTTCTCATTGTCTTGCAGGTGTTTACCTTCAACACAGAGGAGATCGACAGAGAAGGGTGAGCAGTACAGATCTATTCACCCCGACAAAGAGTCAGTGTTGTCAGTTTTAGAAATGAGTTTAGATAAATGTATGATTTGTTTTTCAGAAGTGTTTTGGTGAAGAGGATGTTCAGGTCGTCTGAGGAAGATCTGTGTCCATCACCTCACAAGCAAATGAAAGAGGACACACACAAGAAAGGTACAGTGCACTAATCTGTTTAAAACATTTCATTAATTCATTTTTGAGAAATGTATGTATTTATGATAATTTTATTCTCTTGACACAAACTCGAAATAAAGACAAATCAAATGAATCAGTTGTTGAAACATTACATGGTAAAATTATTGTAATGTATAATAGTCCATTATCGGTACAACAAGTCCTCCACCTTCATATCTCCATGAAGATGCTTTTTGTCTGGAATATTCCACAGCATGTCATTAAACTTATCTGTTTTTATGGAGACAAGCAGGAGGCATCAATATTCAGGTCTGTGGAAAGTTGAACTCGCTCACTTTTTATTGTGTAAGTTAGATACTCTACTGGTCAAAAGTTTTAGAACACCCTCATTTTTCCAGTTATTTATTGTAATTCAAGTCGGGCAGGTCCAATGAAGAGCTTGAAATGGTACAAAGGTAAATACTGAGCAGGCAGAGGTTAAACAAAAGATAAAAGATAACAAAACACAAGTCCAAGCTCTGCCAAAACTACCTCAGGAAAAAAGAACAAGATGAAGAACTTGAAAAGTGTCCAGCACAGTCTCCAGACTTAAACCCCATCGAGCTGGTTTTGGGATGAACTGGACAGAAGAGTGAAAACCAAGCAACCTACAAGTGCCACACATTTATGGGAACTTCTGCAACAGACTTGGGAAGAACTTTCTGAAGAATATTTGATTTCTGTTGTAAAAAGAACGAGCCTCGAGTGTGTTCAGCTGTTATATCTGCCAAAGGGCGACACTTTCATGAATCAAAAGTTTAGAATACGTTCTAAACAATAAAAAACTGAATGAAGTGTGGTGTTCTATCTAAAACTTTTGATCGGTACTGTATTTATGATTATTTTTTTCTCTCTTGGCACAAACTCAAACTAATTATCTGGAGTTTTTGTCTGGAATATTCCACAGCGTGGCATTAAACTAATCTATTTTCATGGAGACAAGCAGAAAAGTTGTGGAAAGTTGAATTCGTTCACTTTTTATTGTATGTGTTATATATGTATGTATGGATCAATGTATTTTTGACCAATGAAACACATTTTAAGTCATTAATGCTAAATAGATATTATATTAGGATACTGCTGTACTTGAACATTCCAGACGGAGCAAAACAGACAAAGAAAAGTGACATAATTCACCACTTTCATACCACTTTCTTCATTGTCTTCTGGCACTTTCTCTGACAGTGTTGATTATTCAATAGTTTTATTTTCTATTACGTAAAGTCTTGCCCTTCTTTCACTTATCTCCAGTGTTGTTGTACGTGAGGAAGGAGGCTGACGAGGTTTTTGACGCGCTGATGCTCAAGGCTCCAACTCTGAGAGGCCTAATGGACGCGGTGAGTCATGGCTTTTATAACTGAACTGCAGTGACGTACGCGTATGTGGGCATTCGATACAAAACTGCTTTAATGTCTTTTCTTAGATATCAGAAAAGTACGGCGTGCCAACAGAGCGGATAGTGAAAGTCTACAAGAAGAGCAAGAAAGGGTAAGTGTAGACAAATGTACAGATACACTCATAAAAGTCTACGGAACAAAACTGTGGCTTATATTATGTCACTTGAACTGTTTTTTGTACAGCTGCAATAAAATTATATTTGAATACTTAGCATTTACTAATCAAAAATGCTGCAGGTATTAAGGCAATTTAGGTAAATTTAGGTAAATCCATATATCATCCATGATGAAACCTGAAGTATGGTTATAATTGTTGATGAGCCAAACATAACGGAATGCTACAATGACACGCAGATGAAGAAAACTGGGATAATTTCTAATATTTCCTACATTTTGTCAGACATACTACCACAGACCCCGCCGGAAGTTGTCATTGTTTCCAAACTTCTTCCTGGTTTTTGATGTAAGCATGAATAGAGCCTGTTATCTTTTCAACTAACCAAAAACAGACCTGGAGCTGTGTTTTATTCACAGATGTTTGAGTAACACTTTATTATTTGTCTGTCTACATCTCCAGAGCTCAAAATGCTCCGCGATTTCATGAAACAGTAGTTTTCGAAATGAAGCGCTATCTTTTACTTTTTATTCAGAAGAGACTGGCAATTTCAGGGGGTTGAAATTATCCAAATGATTCAAGTGAAGGTGTACAGATGTTTTTTTTAAAAAAAGCCTAAATATGCAAGGTTTGTGTGTTAAACATATGTGAATGAAACAAAACACAATTCCAGGTCTGTCAGATGAAGAAAAGAGGTAGAGCGCTTCACTGGATCATAAAAGAGTTAAAAATAGTACAGGTGCTCTACAAGGGTTAAAGTAGTAATCTTAAAAAGAAAGTTGCCATTACTGGATAATGTAAATGACCAATGTAAAAGACCATTTTGCCCTGAGAAAGACCATCTTGCTGGTCAAAACATGCTGCCGTCCCTTCATCCAATAAAAGACTTTAAATATATTCAGTTGGAGTGCCTCGGGTTTGTACCTTGCCCATTTTTACATTTTCCAGTAAGAGCAACTTTCTGTTTAAGACTACTCCAGGTCTGTTTGTGATGAGGAAACAACATTATAACAAGAAATAAGAAAATAGCGTAATATGGGCTGTTGTGGCAAAAATTATATATCTCTCGAAGATAAATAATGATGCCATTTGTGAAGCCCGATGAGTTTTTGTAATATAGACCAAGGTTTATTCTTGTTACAGCAGATATGGACAGGGCCTAAGCCTGTTCTGGCCAAAGCCACTCCCCACCAGCAGTATGTTCCTACTACATCTCCCACCGTATCTCCCAATGTTACAAAGCACCAAGTTTATATAGCCTAAAATGACCAGAAGACATACATTTCAAAGTGAGAAGGTGACGACTCCTACTGAGGTGTGGCCAGATGTGCTTGATCTGATTTGCATCCATATTCACTTGTATTTGTCACTTCCTAACATTATTAGCAAGCAAAAGGGAACAGAAGCATTTACATTGAAGGGTCTTTCTAACAAGCCAAATGAGTTTTAGTTACAAGACCAAATGTGTTTCTAAAAGAATAAGTAATCACTATTTTAATGTAATCAATCATAATCAGTATTTTCCTGTGGGGGTCTGGTCTCAGGTAGAAATCACATTCATTTACACAAAGACAGAATGAGAGAAATCTTTCCACAATCTAAATTTCTATCACATGGGTCTTTTAAGTTTTGCTTGGTTAGTAAAAGTTTCAATCTGTACAAACAAAGCATTTTACTAATATTCCCTGATATCACAGGATCTTGGTCAACATGGATGACAACATCGTGGAGCATTACTCAAATGAAGACACCTTTATCCTCAACATCGAAAGCTGTGCGAATGACTTCAAAATCACGCTCCAGGAAATTTGACGGACCGGGTCTCTGCGTCGGGGCAAAAATGTGAATTGAACGATCTGTTTTTGAGGCTGCTATTGGCTCATGAGCTGACAATGCTAAGGGACAGTTCTATAGCGGCGAACTACTGTATTGGACCACACACCTCATTCCTCTCATCTGTTACACTATGAAGCACATTTTAGAAGACAAACATTTCAGACCAAAAATATGTTGTTTATGTAATACGCCAAAGCATTTCAATTGTATAAATAATTGTCTTTTTGTACAGTTTTTGCCAAATGTACTTCAGGAGTAGCTCGAACTAGATGGTCCTTAACATAGCAGCTCCTTTTGCATGCAAACTCTTATTTTTGTCCGTAGTTATTATTTATTATTATTAATGTAAGATTATTTTAACATTTTATCCTAAAGATTTCACATACTTTGTCTTAACATTTCAGTGGCACGTTTTCATTGTCACAAGTAAAAAGTACTCATATTGTAATTGTAATTATGCATAAACATTTTAAGTGCCTACAACTGTACTGTGGAGTGGACCAATTCAAAACAGAAATTATGGCACTTGTTCATCATGTAGGCCTCTTGTATAGATGTGTAAAATGAATTAAAAGTCCTGATACAATGAAAACGGTTTTTACATTATTATAGAGTGGAATGTCCTCCTTTAAATAATATATATAATTTTTGTATTAGATTAGACTATATATTAGCAGGAGCGGTTCTAGGGGACGACCTCTAATCTGATTGACCCCTGAAGTGCCCCTGTTCTGTCAATCTACTGTCGAAAAGAACAACCAGACTTCAATGATCACTGATGCAATTCCACCCCCAAACATTTGGCGACAGTAGACCTATTGCGTCATTACAACTTAATGGGAGAAGAAACACACCTGTGGAGGACTTTTTTTTTTACTGTCTATGCTTGTATTTGCGCCGTACTGAATTATTGTGTACTTGGCCCCTGAATGTAGCATGGGGCCCCTTAATGGCCCCTGTTTCAGAAAAATCCTAGAACTGCTTCTGTGTATTGGCAATTTATAGAGGAAGGATTTTAATTTAATAGACAGTGTTCCCATGGTCATGGTAATCCTGGAAAAGTCATGGAAATTGAAAATGTCATTTTCTAGGCCTGGGAGAGTCAAGGAATTGTGTAAATTCAACGAAAGTTTTGGAAAAGTCATGAAATTTTAGTATCTCTTTCACGTAACTACTGCGTTCTGTTAATTATAATAGCCTATGTACAAGCCATGACTTATTTCCAAACGTATGCGCCTTTTGTTTAAAAGAGACGACAATAAATGCACTGACGGTATTTAGAATGTTAAAAAACTATCATACCAAACCATAAGGTAAGTGGAAAGGGTTAATATTTCATATTTATCGTTAAAAGTATGATCAATTCTACACAAGTAGGTGTAGGTGCCGTAAAGACACTTTAGGTCATGAAAAAGTCATGGAAAAGTTTAGACATTTTGTCAGTGAAAAACAGCGGGAACCCTGAATAGAGTAAAGTTTACAGTTGTTTATGATCCAGAAAAAAAGCAAAATAATGTTTTAGATTAAAGAGAGGAAGACGAGTGTTTCAGTGAGTGAATCAAAGTTCAAGGCAGGTGCTCACCAGGACCACAGTGGAAAATCTTCACTTACAGACATTTAAAAAAAAGAACTCCAAGGCACTCCGACAGCATTAAAAATCCTAAAACGGGACAAGCAATGTTATAACGACTTATCTCGAAAAATTTATTCAGATTGAAGGCCAATCTTTTGTTAATACCTTTTAGCAAATGTGAACCTGTTATATGTTAAGTTCTTTTTTCAGACCAAGAGTTTGTTTTCAAACCTGACAGTTTCGACTGCTCACTAGCGGTCTTCCTCAGAGTGGTCACGCGATGTTTCTGTGACGTGTTCACTCTGCTGATTTTCACAGGTTTTGGCACTGTCTTCCCACCAGAGGAAACAGGACGACAGCGCCATCTGCAGTCCGACTTCCTCAGGACAGTATCCCAGGTGTGTGAGAGTAAAAAAGCCCCCTCCTCTCTGTTTATAGCCCCATAGAATAAAAGAACCTAATAACATAAAATATCTTGAGACTAAATGAATCATTGAACTGTTATGTAAAAAAAAAAAAAACTCTTGAGACTCTTCACAAGACAAATCACACAGGACTGGGTCACACTGGGCATTAAAGAATGAGCTTTTGTACCATAGAGCCCAGTTTTATCAGAGAAGGCCTAAAGACAGCAACTATTTACTGCTAGTCTACTTAGATCAATAAATAATCAACATCTTTTTACCATTTTGTTTTTATTTGAATAACAAAATGGATATCCTACACAGAGCACATAATGAGAGTTATACAAAATCTACAAAATGATACAGTCACAATGTTGTTTTGTTCGACAGGTAGCCTCTGTACAGTATAAATGGATACAATACTGTTCTTTGTCGTCTACATTTGGCACTTGACCACAAGATGCTAGAAAGTGAAATGCTGGACTGTCCTGTAATGGCTGACTATGTGAAATTAGGGATGTAACAATAACAGAAATATTGTGATATCGTATAGTCAAAAGTCTCAATAATATCATAGGCCATCACAATATTTCGATTTACATGCCTCTTCGCGCTTTCAGTGTCATGGTGCAGCAATAGTAATTCTTTGCTCTGTTTCAGTCCAATTTAGTTGATGAAATGACAAAAAAATTTAGTTAGCCGCTACAAAATATTACAATAAATATCGTACCGTGGGATCCATATCGTGAAAGTATCGTACCGAGAAATTTCGATATTGTTACATCCCCCATTTGAAAATGAGACCAAAATCAAAACTATATAAATAATAATTGTTAGTGGAAAAAGCAGCAGACCTCAGTGATGGATGGAAACAGACATGACTCACTAAATGTTGTGGAAGCTCATGGTTCTGTCATAACATTGAACGATTATTGATTTTAGAATTATGTTTAAACAATGAACAACAATGAAATGAAAGTACTGGTAGTTCTCAGAATTTGGGATTGGTACCCCTGGAAGTTTACTGTGATTATGCAGTGGTTTAGACCTGGTTTAGACCTGGTTTAGAACTGGTTTAGAACTGGTTTAGAACTGGTTTAGAACTGGTTTAGAACTGGTTTAGACCTTCTGTAGCTTTTTAACTTTATGTTGGTTGAGTGAAATATTTTCGGTGGTCCCAAGATAAACTTAAAATTAAAAATATTTGGCTTTTTAAGTGCAAGAACTACTGTTAAAAGACATTATGCAAAACTGTAGTTCTCAGAATTTGGAATTGGTACCCATGGAAGTTTACTATGATTATGTAGTGGTTTAGACCTGGTTTAGACCTAGTTTACACCTGGTTTAGACCTGGTTTAGACCTAGTTTACACCTTGTTTACACCTGGTTTACACCTGGTTTACACCTGGTTTAGACCTTGTGTAGCTTTTTTTTAAAATCTTGGTTAAGTGAAATTTTTTTGAGGGTCCCAAGATGCACTTAAAAAGCCAAATATTTTTTAGTTTTACATTTGAGAACTACTGTTCAGAGAAGACACTATGCAAAACTGTAGTTCTCGGAATTTGGGATTGGTATCCTGGAAGTTTACTCTGATTATGCAATGGTTTAGACCTGGTTTAGACCTGGTTTAGACCTGGTTTAGACCTGGTTTAGACCTGGTTTAGGCCTGGTTTAGGCCTGGTTTAGGCCTGGTTTAGGCCTGGTTTAGGCCTGGTTTAGGCCTGGTTTAGGCCTGGTTTAGACTTGGTTTAGACTTGGTTTAGACTTGGTTTAGACTTGGTTTAGACCTGGTTTAGACCTGGTTTAGACCTGGTTTAGACCTTGTGTAGCTTTTTTTTTTGTCTTGGTTAAGTGAAATCTTTTTGATGGTCCCAAGCTGTACTTAAAAAGCCAAATATTTTTAATTTTAAGTTTGAAAACTACTGTTAAGAAAAGACATTATGCAAAACTGTAGTTCTCAGAATTTGGGATTGGTATCCGTGGAAGTTTACTGTGATTATGCAATGGTTCAGACCTGGTTCAGACCTGGTTCACACTTGGTTCACACTTGGTTCACACTTGGTTTACACTTGGTTTACACTTGGTTTACACTTGGTTTACACTTGGTTTACACTTGGTTTACACTTGGTTTAGACCTTGTGTAGCTTTTTTTTAATCTTTGCTGAGTGAAATCTTTTTGATGGTCCCAAGACGTACTTAAAAAGCCAAATATTTTTAGTTTTAAGTTTGAGAACTACTGTTAAGAAAAGAAATTATGCAAAACTGTTTAGAGGTGAAACTGAATATCTCCTATTTTTGAGTTTATGAGAAATTTAATCTCAGGGTGGCAGCTCATGTCAAGCCGTGTAGCTATTTCCTTCTCGTCAAAAATGGGGAAAAAAAACTATCTAAAAGTAGCAGCAGTTATTCAAAGCAGATTCATTAGCGATGCAAGTGGTCCTCTCCTTTCAACGCTCTCTCTAGCATTATTGTTTGAATATACTGTACACATATTACATTTGTCAAGTAAAAGAAAATAAAATGTTCACATTCAAATAAGTGAAAAGTGAAATGCAGCCAATCGCCACGTCATCTCAAAGTAAAGAGTATATTGTCCTATATTAAGTATTCAAAGATCTAACTTTTGTTTATACTTTAGTTTTAACATTAGCTGAACAAATAGAACACAGTCTGGTTTATGCATATATCTTCAAATTGATTGTTTCTGTGCGTGTTCGTAACATCTCAAAACTTGACACAAAAGTCACTTCTCCAATAACTTTGTTGACAAAAAAGTCCCCCCTTCATTTAAAATATTCAGTCAGTTTTGGTTTATCGTAACATACTCCTCCAAAATACACAATGTCCCTTCTAAAATCCTTCTATTATTTAAAAACTACATTTCCCATTTGTAAGTACAGCATACAACTTCTATCCAGTGTTTCCTTTTTTTTTCTCTCAGATGCAAAATACTTCTCAGTCCGTCAACCCAAGTTATACCAGCAGGATTCCCCTTCAGGAAAATGCTTTGAAAATAAAAAAATTAAATAAAAACAAACTTCAGACTTGGATTCCTCTCCGCCGTGAGGTGATCTTGAGGATACGTTGGATTATCCTTGAGTCTTGTACCATTTTAGACCCTTTATTTTGATCAGCCGTAGAGACACATGGAAACCACAAGTACTATCAACGCTTTGGTTTACGACTATTTACAACGGTGTATGGATATAAGCAAGTATGGCTTCATGTGCCTCTAGAACCTCAGCCGATCGATTCAAAAACAGTGGAACGGGTCAATGAGGAAGGATTGGTTTGAGTCTAATAATTAAAATGTTAAAAAGTCCAGGAGTCTACTGCCCTGCGCTGCTTGGGTCGCACTGGAGAAGTCTGACGATTGAGGGGTCATTCTTAGCGCCTTCCACAAATTCCTCCAGCGATAATTTACCTGAAACACAAAAAAACCTGGTCAACATGCGAGTGAGTATCCCAGATATGACAGTATTCTGGATATGACATTTACATGCGCTCAGAGAAACCAGAATACTCAATATCCTAAGGCTTTTCAAGAGGTTTCTAACAACAAAAAAGTAAGACTTACGCGACCAGTCAAAAGTTTGAGAGCACCCTAATTGTTCGAGTTACTTATTGCAATTCAAGTCGGGCAAGTTCAATGAAGAGCTTGAAATGGTACAAAGGTAAGAACTGAACAGCCAGAGGTTAAAAAAAAAAAAGATAAAAGATAACAAAACAAGTCCAAGCTCTGCCAAAACTACCTCAGGAAAAAAGAACAAGATGGTAAACTTGAAAACATGGAGTCTCCAGACTTAAACCTCATCGAGTTGGTTTGAAGAGTGAAAGCCAAGCGACCTTCAAGTGCCACACATTTATGGGAACATCTGCAACAGACTTGGGAAGAACTTTCTGAAAAATATTTGATTCCTATTGTAAAAAGAACAAGCCACAAGTGTGTTCAGCTGTTATATCTGCCAAAGGTGGACACTTTAATGAATCTAAAGTTTACAATATGTTTTAGTCAAGAGTAAACAGTAAAAAACTAGAAAAAGTGTGGTGTTCGAAAACTTTTGACTGGTAGTGTATATTCAAGTAAGAACATAAGACTGTGGGGCACTGTCAGAGCTTCAGTAAAAGGCGTTTTTACCCTTTGGAAAATAAAAAAGTCTCAGAGTCAGTTTAGTTCAAGCAACACAAACAAACAGAAGTGAGCCTGGTATTTAAAGGTGGTTGTATTAAACAGTACACTGCTTTATTTTTTTTACAAGTATAAAATGTTATTACGGTACTTAAAAAGTCCTGATAGGAGTTTGAGCCATTTTGGGGAAGTAACTGCTCTTGCTATATCTGTTACTTTAGTTTGCACATGCTCAGTACAGCTCCAGTGTTGACAAATGAAGATCCTGGACCCTATCAGGAAAACCCAATGAGATCCTGGTTTGTCATCACCGGGATACTGACTCATGCTGGATACTTAAAACCAGGATACTGTGAATAAATAGACACACACGTAATCAGGGTACTCAAAAATACTCAAAGATACTCAAGCGTATGTCAGATTGAAATGTGGGCATCTAAATCTGTTATACATATGTGGAAACAAGATCTTCTTAAATATTTTATATTCTGAACGGGATGTAATATATCTCGCCATCTCATCTCTTACATAATACAAACCATAAATCCCACGATGGGTGTGGGAAGTTTGAGAGCACATGCTTCCCCTGTAACTGGACATTGGCCCATGTGCTGTTTGGCTATATTTATATATTTCTTATGTAGAGCAGTGAAAAGTTTGGGGCAAATGATCCAAATCTGCCCTACTTATCGCTCTAAAAAGAATATTGGTCAGTCTCTGTCAGTAAGAAGTCAATCTTCTTCTGGGTAAAGTATTAGTAGATATTATGTGTATTATATTGCTTATTATATATTGTATTGTTATTATGTATTTTGGTTATACATTAAAAGATTCGTACCATCTCTATTTGTGTCCATTTGTCTGAAGATCTTGTCTGTGCGTTTCTCTGGTGTCGACTCGTCCTCAGGCATTTTCATCACAGAAGACACCATTTTATAGATTGCCTAAAAACACAGAAAATTGAGCAATTATAATAAAGTACTTCAAAATGTCAGTGTTTGTCACATCCCACAACAAAGTGGAAATGTAGAATGTTTTATAATTTGCATAAATTATATATCACAAATTTTTTTTTCTTTTTAGTATATTGGTGTGTACTGCAGGGACTGGACAATAAAAAATAATTTTGTTAATCATTATAAAAAGGTGCACCGTAACAGTTCATGGGACCTTGATAATCGGCAGCAAAGATGAACACCATTATATTTAGAAAAAAGCTACTTATCCATGATGTTTTCTTCTAGATCACTGTTTTCACTTTTAACAGTAAGTACAATACTATTACATTTGTTTAAATATGGAACTTAATATTCAAATTCAAAAAATTCATATCCATAAAATGTAAACTATCAGGGTGTAAAAAAAAAAAAATAAATACTAAAAATCGATTGCGTGATATATCACGATACTTAACTGTGCAATTCTCATATCAAATCAAAATGTGTCCGAAACAATTTTTTAAAGTCAAAAAGTTCCATTTACTGTTCTCATGATTTAAAAATTAAGTTGACCATAATATTATACATAAATATGGATAAATCACAATATATCGTCCTTTGTTTTAGTATTGGGATATATTGTGATATTTTGAAGAGTAACAGGCATATCGTGATACATATTGTACTGCCGGATTTATGGAAATGCAGACCCCTAGTAAACTGTCAGCAACTTTAATCATTATCATGACAAAATCATCAATTGCAAGTATGTTGACCATGATAATCGTGACACTAAATTCCCGCACAGTCCCATGCCGAGTGTACAGACAGGATAACACTGCTTTTGACATGCACTCTCTATAAACAGCAGCTCAAACTGAAAATGGGATTAGAGTTTCTTCTGCTCTGGCTCAGTTCAGCACCTTGGTGTGTGATGTAACGACATGTGTGGAGGATGTTCTGTGCGTGAGAGCGGCCGACCAATCAGATGGGAGCAGGAGGCGGAGACAGGTGTGCTCAACTGAAGCTGATCATTGATTAGATTAAGGCTTGACCTTTACAAATCTACATATTTTGGCTCTCAACGAAATACGAAGCACTGTGTAACTTCGGTTGGGCGTCTGTCACCTGCTTGTTTCTATGGAGATGTCATTGTTCTCCCTGGAATGTTCCACAGTTTGACATTAAACAGCTCTACCTTACATTTATTCAGTTACAGTTGGTTTTATAGCTCAAAAATACTTTACAATACAGGCATTCTGACCTACCTCTCCACAGATCTGACCTATAACTCGGTCTGGTTTGGGCTCCAGTTGGATAGAAAGGTTTAATGCCATACTGTGAAACATTCCAGATAAAGCAATAACACCTCCATGGAGAAAAGCATTTAACGCACCCTCCACCAGAAGAATACATTTACATAGTGCACCTTTAAGCAATAAAACTGAAGTGCAATAAATTCATGCATAATATCCTAAATAGTTGTAGCCAAACTGTTACGTGAACCTGAATCTGAATCTTTTTTATTAGTTAAATTTGAGGAAGCTGTGTTTTTGTACTATTAAAAGGAATTTGATCACCAACTTAAATTAAATCCACTACTCTGACCTTACAATACCTTACCCTACAATACCAGAGCACATATATATTTAAATATAAAACACATGCCACTGCGAGTGAAAGAGCTCTGTGTGTCTAATCTTATCACGTTGCTTTCGCTCTACTGTGACAAAGAATTTGATTTGAATTGAAACTGAAACTGCAGGCCACTGAAAGCCTAAAAAATCATTATAAACATTGCACAATAATATAAACACGTCTGTATGGTGACATGATTTTTTTTAAAAAGGTGTACAGTGGCTTGGTTTAATCTCTAGTTGGATACAAAGGTGAAACTGTGAAACATTCCAGACAAAACAATAACATCTCCATGAAGAAAAACATTGATGTCAGTCTAACATTGTTAATCTAAAACAGAATATTTTTAATAATCGAAAGATGCCAGTGCTTTAAAATGATTAATTGTACAGCACTAGCGTACAATAATCCAATTTTAATTTAGATCGAGATTCAGTCATATTTAATCATCAATTAAATGTTTCTGTCTAAGTTTCTGTCAGAAGTATGTGGTTTGGACTAGAATATCAACCATTGCTATTTATCACAAAAAATACTTAATTAAAACACATTTTTGTTTTGAATTGTAAATCGTAAAGGATATAAGGGAAAAAATACTCACAGTTACAATCTCCAGCATCTCCGCCTTGCTAATGTACCCGTTGCCGTCAAGGTCGTACATGCTGAAGGCCCATTTCAGTTTCTGGTCCAGCCGGCCGCGAGACGTGACGCTCAGGGCGATGATGAACTCCCTGAAGTCGATGGTGCCGTCTCCGTTGGCATCGAAAGTGCGAAAGACGTGCTCGGCAAACTTGGAAGCGTCGCCGTAGGGGAAGAAGTTTGCGTAGATCTTCTTGAACTCCTCAAGCGTGAGGGAGCCGCTGGGACAGTCCCGCAGGAAGCCCTTGTACCACTCTGTGATCTCGTGCTCGGTGAAGTCTGTGTTCTCCACCAGGTCCTGCATCACGTCTGGACGCAGTTTGCTGTTCTGTTTGCCCATGGCTGCTGTGGAGGTCGGTGCGCTTCAGACGGCTGTGAAAACGAAAGAGAAGAGACACTGGTAAACAAGCTGAGGGGCTGATACATGGGTTATAAAAAGTATCTAGATGTACTGGGGGAAAAAGGCTAAAATTAGATCTTTCCTAAATAGTGTGGTCTATTTCAGCACTGAGACCACATGGTAATATTTAAGAAACTACTAATATACAGTAGGGATGTAACGAAAACCAAATCTCACGGTATAATATTATCACGATATGCAGCTCACGGTATGATATTTATTGCGATATTTTGGAGAAGCTGATAGGATAGTTATTGCTTTTAAAATCCCTCAACAAGACTCAATGCAAATCAATACTGTCATAAACCCAAGAATTAAAGTAAAAAACATATTTCTTCATGTTGTTTGCACCAAAATGAATCATGGGATATGTGGTTCTCCATGTTTTTAAGCTGTTACTACTAACAATGCATTTAAGCAAATTAACATGTGATCCGATATATTGTGACAGTCCACGATATTACTGAGACCTTTGATGATATATATCACAATATTTCGGTTATTGTGACATCCCTAACATATAGTATTGTGTTGAACATTACATTCTATTCTCTAAAACAAGTAGGGGTAGTATTGTATTATAATTGTTGTTTAGGTCATTACAAAATTCATTTTTAAACAGACAAAATCAATTACTGGTTTAAATCATAAATGGTCACATTTTTTATATAGCACTTTCCACATTTAAAGTTCTCAAAGCACCTTACATCAAGAAACCACTCACCCATTCATACACACACATTCATACACTAGTGTACACAGACACTGGAGGCGAAGTGGGTTAAGTGTCTTACTCAAGAACACAACAATATTCATCTGTGGGAGCTGGAATCACCAACCTGTGGGTCAGTGTATCTGACCGCTGAACCAGTGATGTTTATGTCGATTCTAACAGACCACAGTAGCTCAGTTGTTTTGTGATCTGAAGGCTAAGTATTAATATAAGTTAGGGGTGTAACGATATCCAAGTCTCACAATATGATCGGTATGAACCTCATGGTACAATATTTATTGTGATATCGTGGGAAAGCTCACCATATGGTGGGGAGTCTCACAATTAGGGATGTAACAATATCCAAATCTCTCAGTACGATATTTTTACAATATACATCTCACGGTACGATATTTATTGCGATATTTTGTGGAGACTGTTAATATGCTACTTGTTCCTCCTAAAATGCCTTGACAAGACTTATTCCAAAGAACTAAGACTTAAAAGTGCTTAGAACAGCTATTTCTTCTTGTAGTCTGCACTGAAATGGAGCAAAGGATCATGATCTATGTCGTTCCCTCTGTCTTTATTTCTGCACCATAACTCTTAATTTAAGCAAAGAGACTTGTAATTCGATATATTGTGATGGTCCACGGTATTATTGTGAGAACTCTGACGATACGATCACATTATTTCAGTTATTGTTACATTCCTAGTATAAGTAGTTTAGCATATCAGAACAAGCATAACAAGCATGAGCAAACTAAAACTAAAACCAAGATTTCAAGTTGCTCATTAAAAAGTAAAAAGCAATCAAACTGCTATAGGTGGTACAAAAATGTCAGTAGAAAGCACCAAACTTGCACTATGTTCATTAATAGCTGTGTTGTGCTCATAAATTCCCACTTCACCTTGCACTAATGTCTTTCCATTAGCCTTTACAGACAATTACGAAGCCACAGGGCCATTTGATGTATCTGAATGATTTCCACAGCCCTCGCAGAGGTCTCTTAGGGATAATTTATGCAGTTTTTGAGTGTTAACACCAAGGCACTACCTTCCTCCACTCATCTTTTGCATGTTACCTCTTCTTCCTGTATCAAACCAGCAGCATGCAAACAAACCGTCACAAAGTCAGGTTGAGATGAGCTGTGGTATCAGTCATGTTCAAACCACAAGCAAGTACATATATGTTCACAGCAGAAGTTCAAATCATATCCTTACTCGCTTCACTGCTACAAAATCTATTATTAGTCTTTCTACAACATTTTGCAACTACAGGCCTTAAATGTGAGTGAATACAAAAATACATGTGCTCCAAAGATAAACACGGCATAAATATAGACAAATATAGATCAGCTAATGACACAATCAAAAATATAGCAATAAAAGTTTAACATGGGTTAATTGTTGTAATCTACTTTTATTGGATACTAGGAATAGTCATAGTAGTTGTAATCATTTTCAATAATAATCATAATGCACAAAAAATTATTTATGATGCTTAAAAGAAATTGATTATTGTGTGAGATTTTCGCCATGTTATAACGCTGTTACCTCCTCAAAAAACATGCCCAGAGTTGTATTTTATTTCATTCACAGGTTTGAGTAATCCTTTATTATGTTTTTGATGAGGAAGCAACATAATATATATCAGAAAATAGCATAACTGGGCCCTTTAAGTTGTTTAAAAAAAAAAAAAAAGCCCAACTTGCCTAGTTACATTAGAAGCAGTAGTTGTTTGTGTAAGATACAGTACAGGAACATACTGTCTATTTATAGCATATACTGAACAGTGAACTTTGACAACAGTAGTCTATTGATGTACGGCCAATTCAGCTGTAATCAATTTAACAAGGAACATTTTGCTCATTTGCCTCATTTATCATGTGTTTGTGCAATTGACAAAAATCAATTGTTTGAAAATGTGACACAGTGGACTAGACTGAAAGTGTTATCTGTGTTTTAATAAAAAGTGTGGACCAACATAAGATCATTCTATTTAAGATCGTACAAAACATTTTACACTTTCTTTCCCAGTTTGGCCAATTTTTAGGATTAAAATTTAACTTCCTAGTTGAAAATCATTCCAAAACTACCTAAAAACTATCATGTAGAGTAGGCCAAAACTCTTTTAATGTACACAGAGATTATTATTTGACAAATAAAATGATAAGAAAACACCTTTATTTTGTTGAAATCATGTTTAAAGCATCAAAAAAAAAGAATTTTGCAAATATAAATTGTGCTTAAATTTTGAATAGAAGTCTCCCTAGTGTAATGTCAACATGTGGCTCTCTATTTCCTGTAATTTTCGACATGTTTTTCAACTTTTCTTCACAAACTGCTTCCTGATTGGTGTAAAATTATAATTTAGGTTTAGCGCAGGTTTCATCCCATCAAATTAAGTAGAAATTCATCAAAACCAAAGTCAGTCATACGCACTTGAAGCTAATACACGGTAATAAACGGCTGCTGCTGAGCTCTGAGGCTAAAGACGTGAGTGAGAGAAGCCGTCCTGGGCTCACAGCGGATGAAGACAAATCAAATTAGACCTGTCAGACTACAATATTCACAACACGCTCTATGCTGCATGTGCACAGAATAAGGCTGGTTAAACTGTATACTCTGTACTGATCTACACTAAAACTAGAAACCAAACTGGATATTTATTTGGAAAAATATTGACACTGCAATAAAAGTAAACATCACAAACTAGATTTCTGAGTGTAATGTAATTGTAATGTACTATTATTTTCTTTGTCATTATTGTATACTTGTATGTCCTATGTTTTGTTCTTTTTCTATTGTCTAAATTCTGAGTAAAAAATAGTTCCCTGAAGTACTTAAGACATTTTAGCATTACTTTTTCTGTGGTATGGCCAGATTATATTGAAATAAATACCACTTATAAATAAAAAGTAAGTTTTTCCAGTCTGTGTGTGCTTTTTTAAAAATTTTTTATCAATTAACACTATTTGCTCACTTTCAGGATTTTATGAAGGTTACAAACTTAACAAAAAATAGTAAAATAAAGAAATAAAAAATACAAATAAAACTCTGCCTTCACTCTAACACTTTTGTTCAGTTGAGAGAATTTCATTTTTATTTTGCTTTGGATCATAACTGGGTGACTAAGGGATTGCAAAGATACAAACTTAAGCCACAAGGGGCAACTAAAATAAGAAATGACCTTTGTCTTAGTTATGTCTCATTGAAGGCCCATTTACTCCTAAACTAGAAAAACAACAATGAGTTCTGAGAAAGTTTGTGTAGTTTAATCGTGAGCTGCAATCCAAGTGCTCCCAGTGCAAGTCATTCAAAACCACTCATGTCAAAATAATGGTTTTATGTTTGGACTTTAATGTCTCTCACGTTCCCCTTCCACAGAAATCCCCAACTGCTATTGTACCAGTTAATATTAATAAACAGCTGCATTAAAAAGGAGTTGGTCTGTGTTCTTTATAGGGCAGTGAACATTTTTATTTAAATTTTGTTAATAATAAATATGCTTCAGTCCTTTTAAAATCGTGAGCTCTACAGCCAGGCCTATCGACAGAAATTTGGTATGCTTTAATAAGCAGAGGTTCAAATTGTGGGCCCCTAAGACTTTGGGACCCGAGAGAACAGACCGCTTTGTCCCTCCCTGTCGACACCCCTGTCTACAGTCACTCTGAGTGAGTAAAAGCATGTGGTTTGGAGCAGAATTTGTTGGTGAAAATAATTTGAGTGCTACAAATTGGCTACCTCTCTTCCGTCAGCCTACACCAGGGCAAATGTGGCTACAACATTAGTTTACCACCACCGAGTGTGGAGTGAATGAATAATGCAGCTGAAAATGCTTTGAGTATCTTGAAACGCACAACAGAAATCCAATGGTTAATTGATGACTACATTTGTTTTAGTGAAATGTCTTAGTGTTTTTTAAGGATATTTGGCAATGTGCAACACTATTCCTTGACTTAACAAGAAACTACTGACTAACAAACTATTTAAACACACCAGAGACAACTATGACTGACCCCCGTGTGTGTCCTCATGTTACTGTATCACAAGGGCAGCAAGAAACGAGTTCACACACATATTTGATTAGGCTGTAAATCAATTATGTTTTAACACATGAGCAAATTAGCAGTGTTTCTCAAACCGATTACACCGCACTAAACGAGGGGCAAATGGTACAAAGAGACTGTGTATTCAGTGCAGTATAAGCCAGTGTACAAGGCTAAAGTTAATGCTGCCATGAAAAAAATGTAGACA